GATGCATTTCACCTGCTTAGCCAAGTGTTCGGGTTTCCGGGAAACACCGAGGACATTGGAGATTCTCGCCGACAGGGCGCGTCTCCTGTTCTCTCGTTCGCTCTCGTTGTCAACGATGTTGTCCAGAATCTTCAGGTACAATCCGAGACACTTGCTGCAATTCAGAGACATTTTTTCCGCCTTAGCCTCGCCGTGCCAGTCGGGTAAGTGTTTCAGCAGAAAGTTAACGACGTCTTCCTTCACTATGATCTCCTCCGTTGTGCCAGTCTCGAAGAATGCCAGGATGAGGTGCACCGCGGCCTGCGGCGCGGACGACATCTTCTCGGCGAATTCGATCGGTACTGTCAAGCAGTCGCGCCATTTTTTCGCCATGTCGCTCATCAAGCGGAAATTGTAGTCATTCACGTGATCGATCTCGGATCTCTTCGTCATCACTTTGTCGACGAATCTCGCGAAGAGCCTCTGAGCCTGTGCTCTGCCGTTCGCGTCGCTCGGCACGATCTCGGTGTCCATCAGTATCTCGAGGATATCCGTAATGATGTAGTTTACATCGTGCTTTCTCTCGAGCAGATAAGCGGCGGCGGATTCGATGATCGGCGTCAGCGCGAATTTCGCGTAGTACTTAAACACATCGGCGGTGTTCGAGATGATCTTCAGCAAGAACAACTTGATGTTGGGCTCCTTTAACGTCATGGCTGCCAGGAAGCATTCCAGCCACGGGGGTGATATGTCGCACGATCCCGAGATTTGTCTGGCGCGCCGCAGCAGAGCGCAAACGTGCGGCATGCACTCGTGCTCGTTGAAATCGTCGCTCTCCAAAGCGACGCTCGTCACGCTCTGCCACGAGCACTGAGACCAGCCCTGAGACGCGAGATAGCGAGAGCCGTACGGCAGCACGACGCACCTGTTGAAATCGTAGGCGTTGATGTCTTCGTTGAGCGTGCAAGCTGACAGATCGAAGGTGTGCGTGTACGAGTTCCCGCGCATACCGCGCTCGTCGTCCGCGGACTTGACGCTCACGACGGTCTCGCGGATCTTCGGATACTCCGTGAAGGTCTGGCCGAGTCTGTACCGCTTGTCGCGGTCCACGATGATCTCCCAGATGAAAACGTTATCGGCTTTGTTTTTAGCGGTATTCTTTCCGAACGCCATTTTGTAAAATTCCTCGCGCTCCTTCACGCTTATAAGCGCCAGGAAGCAGTTGTACGCGGAGCAGTGCATCAGACGCGCGAGTTCCTTGCATCGTGGAATCCGCACATCCCGCGTATAAACGGTATTTTGTAACAGACTCTTATACAAAACTTTATTGGTCGTGATTTTGTGGAGAACATTTTGCGCCCTGCCGAACATAGTCGCGATCAGCTGGAAGCATCCAATCTTCGACAGAAGACTCCGCTTTATCGCGACGTCGTCGCAGTTGTTGTCGACGGGTTCCTTGGTGATTTTGTCCAGCTCGAGGACGTTCTGCTCGAAGAAGCGCTCGATCGCGACCGCGTCGCAGAACTCGAACGGCGGCAGGAGGAAGCCGCGCAGAATGTCGAGTCTCTCCGTCCCGTCCTTCGTCTCGGTGTTCATGAACTCGCGATAGGTCATTTCGAGCGAGCGCAGAGCGTGTTCGCCGGACGTCCCGCGATAATATTTGCGCAGATGCTCTTCCAGCTTCTCGTCGAAGAGACGAGCGCCGTCGCCGGCGGCGAAGTGTATCGCGAACTTGAGCGTTATTATCGACTTGGTGGACGACAGCAGCGTCAGCAGTATCTCGAAGCAGCTGACCCGCTTCGCGGCTTCGTTGGTCCTCAGAGTATTCAGGATCCCCGACAAGTTCTTATCGTCGCGGTCCGGAGCGTCCGTCAGGCAGACGAGGAAGTTCCGCAGGATCCGCATCTTGTACTCGAGATCGCCGTTGCCGATCAACTGACTCAAGATCCACTCGCGAAGCTCGGGAAACTCGCGCGCGATCTCCGACCTGAGATGCACCGCAACGCCGTAGATGTTCACCAGCCTCTCCCTGCGACTGTCAATTTCGCCGACGGTGCACTGCAGGCACGTGAACTGCTGCAGAATCGACCTCACCGCCGTGTCCACGTGATCCCTCAACTCTCGTCTGCGCCGTTTGAGAAACAGCAACAGATCCTCGATCCACTTGAGCAGAAAGGACGGATTGTTGCGCGACATGCTGTCGAACACGATCGTGATCGCGCTCGTGTTCGCCAGCATGCACTTGAAAATCACGCTCCTGAACGTGTTCAGGAAGTGCTCGCCGTGCGTGATGCTCGCGGAGTCGAGACCGGTTATCGGGGTGTTGTCGGATATCAGCTTCACCAGCGTCTCGATCATCGACCGAGTGTCGTCGGGTATCAATATTGTCGGCGACTCGAGCGTCAATGAGAGCTGCGAGAACTGAAACTCCATCAGCGTGCTCAGATACTCGATCATTTGCGCGCTCAAGTCGCTGCAGGTCAATTCTCCGTCACATTCGGTGACCAGGAAACGGAAAATTCGCACGATCGTGTCTTCGCCGTTCTTAAAAGCGCTAATCTCTGAGATCGTTCGATCGAACACGTTGCAACGCTTCAGCAAAATCAGCCCCTTCACGTGTTGAATCATCTCGTCGCAGGAATCGCTTTGCATGATGTACTGCAAATCGAGAAGTTCCGTCAGGTATCTGTGAACGAAATGCGAAAGGTGTGTCTTAAAGACGTTCGGTAGAGCATCGCCAAACTTGGATCTCATGGAATTCAGCAGAATCTCGAGTACGTGTGGCAACTTGTTTGTCATCTCGATGTTGCCGACGTTGAAGCCGACCGCGCGCGGATGCATTATGCATTTGATCATTAGCGCAGAAAGCGCCTCCTCGGCCCATAACGATTCCGGTAGAGCGTTGACCTGAAAAAACAAGCAGGTCATAAATTAATTATTGTTCTCATCGATCCGTGATTATTTTTCATTCATCAATCGCCAATCTGTGATACAAAAATAAATAGAGGCACATTCACTCACATTCAGCAGCTCCTGCATAAAGTCGAATGCAGCCATTAGAGTTCTGCAGCGCAGCATCTGCAGCGTCTGCAGCTCTCTCGACGCAAACGTTTCCGTCGAGGATTCAGCGATCGTTTGCCAGAACTGCTGAGCGAAATTACGAATGCGAGAGAAGATCGCGTGCTCGCCCGCGTCGGAAAAGAGTTCTTCCGCCGACAGCAATCGTTCCTCAATAGACGGATTCTCAATCGGTTTCTTAATCAGCCACGCGTAGCAGTCCAGAGCTTTCAACAACGGTGTCGGGTTGTCGATTGCAGAGACACCCTCGTCGTACAGCTCCAAGCCTCCCAGAATAATGCCGTTCAATCGCTCGATCCCGTAAGTCGCGATAAAGCCTCGCGTCGTCTCCCGCGCATGATTATCATTGTATTTAGACACATTAACGTACAATTTCATACACTTCGAACGATAACGTTCGTCGAGGGCTCCGCATTGCGACAGTAGCCAGTGTAAAGCGTGGACGAGAGTCGCGTCATCGAATTCGCGAGGTTTGCGTCGACGGCTTTCGTTGACATTCAAAAGATCCGCCTTCGCTTTCATTACTCTCTCGACGTGAGTCAGCGCGTTTGCGATCGACAGATCGTCGCATCCGTCCGAACTTCGGACAAAACAGTAAAATATCTCCAGCCAGTAGATCGACACTATTTCGTCGTGCTCTCGCAGAATCCTGTAGAGATGATTGAAAGCCACGGCTGCGGCTACGCGTTTATGCGTCGACGGGAGCAGCGCGAGATAATTCATCCTCTGAATGATTCTCTGAACAATTTGATGCACGTTTGACCGAGTGTCCGCTTTCCTAATGGATTAATATTCATTTACTACGCACCCAGAAATGAAAAAAAAAATTATTAAAAATTATAAAATAAAAAAAGATAAAATAAATCCATTTATGAAAAAACATGCTCGTGTAGTTATTACAATTTTTGAAAAATAAAAAAAATATTTATGCTGTGCAAAAGAACATTCGAATATTGAACACTGTAAAACAGCAAGAATGCTCTTTTTTTTTAATATTCTGTACACAAAAGAATATAAAAAAATAAATACATACTGGAATAGCGAAAACGTGAATTCCCCCAGGCACTTGCCGGAAAAATCGCGCAACGCGGGGTTCGAATCGTCAGTGAGGCCGTCGAAGAGCGAGTCAAGCAGATACGAGATCACCGGCAATGTCAGCATGGATTTGGAGCTCAACCAGCGAATCAACTGGAGCGTCAATGGCTCGAAAAGGTTGCGCACAGCCTCATCGAAGTCGCAGCCGAGCGCGAGCACGGTTGGACAGAGAACGCCGTAAAGAGTGATGAAGGAGTTGTCCGGATCGACCAGGTGTCGCGCCGTGTTGCCGATAACAAGCGTCATCATGGAGTAAAGAACCTCGCAGGCGGCGATCTTGGTGCGCCGGTCGCTGGAGTCGCGCGCGAGCGCGATTATTCGCGGCAGCGCGCGATCGAAGTAGATGTCCGGCCGTGCGTCCGGCAGCGGCAAGCTGTACTTGAGGCACCTCTTGCTGTCCCAGGACGCCCCGGTGCTGCGGGAAGCGCGCTCGTGCACGAAGTTGGACAGCAGGTCGTGGTTGAGCGATCCGAAGAACAGCAGCACCCGCCGCTGGAAGTTCCGCAGCGTGCACTCGGTATCGATCACGTGAACGCGCTTCACGTGCTTCCTCGCCGTTTCCGTCGTCAGATCCTGCGAGATTTCGGCGGAGCTCTCCGTGCTGCGCAAGTACGGCTCCAAGTAAGCCACAACTTCGTGCAGCAGTTCGTTCGTGTGCTCCTTTTGCTCCGGCTTTTGCGACATCGTCCACGTCTCGAGGGTGCCAAGCGCGGTGTACGCGAGCTCTAGATCGCTGAGACCGACGGTGAAGGCGATCTTTAACACCGGCAGCATGCGCGGCAGCGCATCTTTGATGTAAGCGAGAGGCGCGTTTAGAATCAGGTGCAGATACGCGATCAGCAGCTCGTTGGAGAACGCGGGAAGCAGATCGAGCGTGTACGTTAGATAATTAGACAGACATTCCTTCGCCTGCCGCAGTTCTCTGCTTTCCTCTTCGCCCTCCAACGTAACCACGATCTTCATGCCGACGCGAGCCAGCTTGTAGAAGCCGGACACCAACGGATGCTTGTACGACAGTCGAATGATTTCGTAGAGAAATCTTTGCACGGTATTGGCGAACAGCGACGACTCCGACGCCTCGATCACATCAACGTAGAGATCCACGAGATTCGTGAACACATGGAAGTCCGCCTGATTCACGGCCAGATTTTGAGGAAAAATCGCGTCGGAGTGCGCGTCGACGTTTTCTCTTGCTTCCTCTACGCGTATGTCCAGTCGGTCGATCAGCGTGATGCAGTTGTCCATCAGAGTATTCGCTACATGCTGCGCCAACTGCTCGCGCTCGCCGGTGCGATATTTGTGCGCGTTCAACAGTGCTGTCCACAGCGGCAGATAGTTTTTATTAGCATACCGGCCGCTGTCGTAGGTTCTTCTGCTCCCATTGTAATTCGGCATCGACCGCCAACGTGTGCGAGCAACTCCATGCGATGCCGTCGTAAACTGAAAAGCGAAGGCGAGATTTAATGCAATCGGGATTTCATCGTTTCTCTCATCTAATGAATTTGAGCATTTCTGTGTAAAAAATAGTACATTGTATAAAATACACTTTACGTAAAGTTTTTCGTTGAAATATTGAATTAAGCATGAATAAAAAGCAAAAATTCAAAGGAACTTTTGGATCAATTCAAAAGAATATAATTGGAATATTCAATAGAATCACAGAAATCAACTTACTTATACTGTCGAGATATCGTTGCAGCAGATTTCGATTGATAATTCCAAGATTACTAATCGTTCTGATCAACGCAGAAATGACAAGTGGATTCTTGGATTCTATTATGTCGGGAAACCTTTTGATCGTGTAGACGCTGAGTTGTACAAGAACGTTGATTTGTTCAATCGTGATGTCAGACATGTGACACAATATGCCAGACAGTACTTCTTGATAACAACAGACGTTTTCTATGTACGCCGAATCACTTTGCTCGCTTTAAGAAGAAAAGAAGTGAAAATAATGATCGCTTTCTCTATTTATAATCAAATATTTCATTATAATATTAAAGTGTAATATAAAATTATATAAAATATCTTGAATGTTACCTGAAACAAAGAGAAACCGCACTAGTTATAGTAGAATACATTCGTCTGATCCTCCTTTGATCCAAATGCACTTTGCACGGTTCAGCCATTTGACTGTATCCATAAACAAGCAGTCGTAATGTGATTAAATTTAAGTTGGCATTTTGGAATTCTTTCTCAAAATCGTCCAGAAAATACTGAAATAAAAAATGAGTTATAAACGTAAAATAAAAGTGGATTCTTTGTTTAATGTTCTTAGCTTAAAACAATATCTTACTAATAATATAGCTTCGGTATCTTCTTCATTATTATCCTTAAGAATCTTTCCGATAATTCGATAAATTGCTCTCAACGTGTTGTATCCGTCATTATTATAATTGATTGTCTGGTGCGACAGGCGTCGAAGAATTTCATCATACCAATACTTGCAATCGGGATATAATAAATCTTGAAACAAGTTTACATGACAGCTTAAAAGATTGATTGCACAGTTCCTCGCTTCACTATTGTCTTTGTTTTTATTTCTGTCACCACTTGTTTTCGGTTGACTATAATGTTTAATATATTTGTACAATGTGTTTCGTTTCGTTTGCTCCGGTTCAATATACTTTAATATGACCACGAAAACTTTGAAGTACGTATGAAAACTTTTGTTTCTTTTGTCAGTATTCTGATAATTATGAAACTGTAAACAAAGAATACATAGATTGTCACATTTTCTTGAGATCTGTCAAGTTGATTCCTAATTAAATTTTTATATTATTGTTATCGCTAATTTACCTCTGTCAATGCATCATTATATAATTGATTAAAAAAATAATTCAAACGTTTTTGCGATAGAAGACTATTGAGTTCGAGTATTTTACCGAGTACGCAGAATCCAAGTCTTCTTTCTATAACAGAAAATAATATAAAATGTTATTCTTTTTGTATCCAAGCTGAATTATTACATTGGTTCTTACCTCTTATGTCTATTTTATTAAATAATTTAAATAAACGATCAGCTGCCTCATCAAGTTTTAAATCATGATCCTCAAATAAGTCTATTAATTTTGTAAAAGCAGCACAAGCAAATGTTTTTACGTAATAATTACATTTTATAATCAGTGCCTTCAGACACACATCCTGGAACATATTATAATATTAATTCCTGTTTATCAAAACAATACAATTTTGCCTTAAAATATAATCTTTAAAACTTTTAGAATTACAACAGTTCCAAAATATAATATCAAATTTGCTAAATTTGCTAAATACTTTTTGTAGAAATAAAAGTGACATTATACTAAATTTTCATATAAAACAAATACATTTTTATCTTCTACTTTTAAAAATTATCTTTTATTTTTATATAACGTGTATATATTGTAATATTTCATAATACCTTAATTTGAAGAATATATTGTATGAAACACGAAGTTTTAGAAAAAATTTTCTATACAAAAGTGAAGGAACTTAAAGCCCTGTTTAAGTGCATTGTCTATGAACGTTGACCTTGATCTTGGAGGTGGGTTATTTGCAATCTCATCTAAGGTTTCTTTGAGGAAGCACAACAAGCCATTTCTTCTATCAAATATGCCGCTTACAAAAGATTCTGTGAAACAAATATATATATCTGAATAAGTAGCCAGAATTAAAATAAGTACATATACTATAATGTGCATCACATACTTAGTCGAACTGATACAATTCAATTTATACTTACAATTCTTAATATATAAAGTACAATTAGATTAAATATTAAGATTAAGAAAAAATAATTTTTTTAAATAAACCACATTTAAGCAGAATCAAATTTAAATTAAGTTAGACTTCAAATTAGATTACCAGAATTTGCAGGCTTTCAAAACATCAAAGTGTAATAAGTTATGTATATGAAAAATAAAAGTGCACATTTATCACTGAATCTCTTACAAGTATCAAATATCTCATATCTCTTATAAGTAACAAATCTCTTTGCTGTTCAAATAGCTAAGATATTTTACTACGACAGCGTAAAATTTTTTGTTACAGCAAATTCTTCTTTTCATGATAGAACATAATGTGAGCGGTAAACGTACTATTCAAAAGCAATAATACTGTCATTTCACTTACCTAGATGTTCGATCGAAATAAATTCAAGAAATCTTTGATCATCTTTCAAAATTGCTGTTATGGAAAAATAATATCTTCTAGATATAGCCTGTTGTAATCTTTCTAAGAAGTCTTGATAAGAATCCATCCTTCTGTGTCAAGTTTAAAGAGTCAAGTACACCCGGTGCATCCTCGCCATTCTACAGTAATGACAAATGTGTTCTTTTTAATTTTGCACTTTTGTTTTTTCTTTCTGAAAAGAACAGACTTCGTTCCTTAGGGCATATCCATAGACCTTGCATAACTATATGAATATATGAATTTACATTAGACTAGTGATGCAATACCATTGCAAAGTAATTAATAATCGGATCGCTAACATATCTGTTTTTATTTTTCTCTCTGCGTAAAAACTTTTTTGTAAAAAAACCTTCTGACGTTTTAGCGTTTATGAGGTTTGTTATATTGCCGTCTTTTTTAACTTGTTAGAAATTTTTTTCTAGAGTTCTTTTATGTTGGCGTTTTGTCGTCGTCTAAAAAATTAATATATATATATAGTTCAGAGTAGTTGTCACTTGCTGTCACTGTCACGATACAAACATAGTGATAATGGTGCCCATTTGAAGAGCATCGACGCATTTTTACTTCTCTTTTGCTACAATATATCTTAATTGTTATCAGTGATAACAGCGAGCATCATGGGTAATGCTGACACAAAATTGAATTTCCGGAAAGCCGTGGTGCAATTAACGTCGAAAACTCAGGTAAAAACAACCGCTTGTTTACCTGTCCTATCAAGTAACATATGATCGGTTGACAGGTAGATAGCAAAGCGATTTTTAATGAAACTGTTAATTTTTAATAAGAACTAGTCACAAATTTACCCAAATTTAGTTTTAATTTATTAAAAACAGCTATAACATTGATGTATTGTATTATTTGATAATGTGAATATTTTAATTATATTATTTTATTATATTATTTTAATTCTTTATTTGTTTACGTACTGACAGGTAATTGATTCTGCGGATGATTCATTCTGGGACCAGTTTTGGTCCGAGAATGTGACCAATGTTCAAGACATCTTCACTCTGATCCCGGCTCCAGAAATTCGTATATTGAGGGAAGAGACACCTTCCAACCTGGCTACATTATGTTATAAGGCAGTTGAGAAATTAGTCAAAGCGGTGGATAATAGCTGCAGGACTCAACGGGAGCATCAGACCGTTCTGAATTGCTGCCGTTTACTCACACGTTTGTTACCTTACATATTCGAAGATCCTGATTGGAAGGGCTTCTTTTGGTCCAGCTTACCTGGCAAGGATGAAGAGGAGAGCTTGCCACTGGCGCATTCTCTGTTAAATGCACTCTGTGTAAGAGACACTTAAAGCAAATAATTAAACATTCCATAAAGTACATTTGAAATAAACTTATAAATTTCACAAGTTAGTAATAAAATTATTTAATTACAAAATTATTTTTTACGCGAGGATATATTTGAAATAATATGTGCTTTTATGTATTTTAGGATCTACTGTTTTGTCCTGATTTTACAGTTGCTACAAACAGGAAGTCAGGTCCGGTGAGTTTTCATTAGTTATTTTGATAAGAGTTTTGATGAGAAGAAGAAAGCGCAAAACATGTAATACATCATCACATTTCTGCAGGACAAAGCTGATGAATTGCAGTCGATAGACAGTTGTGAATATATCTGGGAAGCAGGAGTAGGTTTCGCGTACTCCCCACCGAGGTATCCTATTCTGGATTCGAATCGTACGGAGTTGCTGAAACTCCTGTTGACATGCTTCAGTGAAACCATGTACAATCCGCCGATGGATTTGTCCATCACGCCAAACAGATGGATTCAATATTTGACCAGCAGTGAAAACAGGTAATTTATTTTTATTAATCACTGCAACATAAAATAATAACGTGTTTAGGAAAATATTTCTATACTATTCGATTTTTTATTAATAATTAATTATAACATGTCAATCATATTCGATTGCTCACAGACATGCTTTGCCTATGTTCACGTCGCTACTGAACACAGTGTGCGCCTACGATCCCGTCGGTTACGGCGTGCCGTATAATCATCTGTTGTTCACCGACTCCTTGGAACCGCTTGTCGATGTTGCACTACAAATTTTAATCGTGACTTTGGATCACGATACCACTGGTGGAGCGCCATTGGAAGAGGGAGCAGTTGGAGATAATTTGTTCATCAATTATTTGAGTCGAATTCATCGCGATGAAGGTACTTTGACGAGATTATCTAACGTTTTTCTAAAAAAATGTCAATTTTTTAATAAAATATAAATTTATATAAGCGTAAGAAATATGACAAGCTTAAGTACTGAAATGTGTTGCTTTTAACTATTTTGTTTTCCCACAGATTTCCAATTTGTCTTAAAGGGCATCACCAGGCTGCTAAATAATCCATTGATGCAAACATATCTTCCTAACTCGACCAAGAAAGTACATTTTCACCAGGAGCTGCTGGTTTTCTTTTGGAAGATGTGCGACTACAACAAGAAATTCTTGTATTACGTGCTAAAAAGCTCAGATGTCCTCGAGGTTCTCGTGCCGATACTTTATCACTTGAACGACTCGCGTGCCGACCAATGTAAATATTTATTTTCCATTTTCTTGCTCATTTGTTCACGCATAACCAATTTAATTCAATCGTACGATAGTTTTTTTAATCGGGTTGCCCATTTTAATTTACCCAATTTTTCAGCACGAGTCGGTTTGATGCACATTGGCGTATTCATCTTGCTTCTTTTGAGCGGAGAACGCAATTTTGGAGTGAGGTTGAATAAGCCTTACACAGCTACAGTGCCTATGGATATTCCTGTTTTTACAGGTAACGTTATGCAATAATTGATAATGATAAGATTTCTCAACAGCTAGTGCAAATATTTTAATTAATTAATATTAAAAAAATTCTTTTCTATAAAAATGCAGTTTGCTGTCCTAGTTTCATTAAATACGTTTATATTGTTAATTTTCTAGAATGTAATTGAGATCTTGTTTTTCAGGAACACACGCCGACCTCTTGGTCACTGTATTTCACAAAATCATCACGACTGGTCACCAGAGACTGCAACCGCTGTTCGACTGTCTTCTGACGATTCTAGTCAACGTCTCGCCGTATCTTAAAACGCTGTCCATGGTGGCTAGCACAAAACTGTTGCATTTGTTGGAGGCATTTAGCACGCCGTGGTTCCTTTTCTCAGCGCCCACTAATCATCACTTGGTGTTCTTTCTGCTCGAGATCTTTAATAACATTATTCAGGTAATGTATTCATGCGAAATGTGTTCTTTTGCGTTTAAACAAACAATGCAGTTTTCGATTACATATGTTACAAAACGTAAAGTTGGTTATTTACGCCGCTTTTTCGACTTTCAGTATCAATTCGACGGAAATAGTAACTTGGTCTACACGATAATACGCAAGCGGCAAGTGTTCCACGCGCTTGCGAATCTGCCCAGCGACTGCAACACGATCGCAAGGTCCCTCAGTAAGAGACAGCGTCGTCACGTACCTGCCAGCACGTCCAATGAGAACGTTAGCGAGACTGCGATGGAAGGATCACATCCTGCGCAACCCGCCGAGCCCGGCACCTTGAAGGCGTCCTTGTTGGAGACTCCCGGTGAGTCTCCAGCCAAATAACTCATTAAGTGGAGATTTACATTTAAATATAAATACAGTCTTGACATGTTTTATATTTTTCTGTAATACTCTGTTTAGTGAGCAATTTTTTTTGTATAGAATTTTAATTTTTTTTGAAAGCACATATATCTGTTGCACTGACAGGTATCGAGAATATGACGGAGAAGGAATCTGCGCATCCGCTGAGTCCATCGGCGAGCGTCGATATCGGCAAGTCGATTAGCAATGGATCAGAGAGCAAGACGGACCTCACGGAAGAATCCACGCCTAAGAAGAATTCCGTGGTGCCGGTAAGAGAGCGTTGTTCCCAATTCCAGATTTACAGATAAATAACTGACATGGAAATAAAAGTAATTGATTTGTATTTGAATGATCGAAACTTGTTGGATGCCTAGAAGGGTGGTATTCGCGTCGCCGAGCAAGCAAACTCCAATAACGTCAACAACGTGAATCAGTGGGTGCCGTCCAGCGACTGGGTGTATCAGTGGAAAAGCAAACTCCCGCTGCAGACCATCATGCGATTACTCCAAGTGCTGGTGCCGCAGGTCGAGAAGATTTGCATCGACAAGTGAGTCCTCGATCAATCAATAAACTTGCTTATCACTCATTCTTTTTAAATTATTCATGGAAATAACGTTTTTACCATAGTTTTCAATATATATTTTTTCTTTTATTGATCTTGCCAGGGGACTGACAGACGAGAGTGAGATCTTGAAGTTCTTGCAACACGGCACTCTAGTCGGCCTACTGCCTGTACCGCATCCCATTCTCATCAGACGATATCAGGCTAACGCCGGTACAACCGCGTGGTTCCGCACATACATGTGGGGCGTGATATATTTAAGAAACGTCGAACCGCCCATATGGTATGACACAGACGTCAAGCTATTCGAAATTCAGAGAGTTTAGATAGTAATCGCTAGAGATTCGCTCGAAATACTGTTTTATTGGCAGTGCGCAAGAAGGTGAGTTTCATCGAATTCTTGTGTATACCGCGTGTGGCGCCGTTCCTATTAACATTAATTGAAATTTGAGAAAAGAGTTTTCTTATTTTTCTCAGCTTTGAAAAATCAATTTTTAAATAAGTAATGATTTTAGAGCATTTTGAAATGAATTTTATCGAGATTTTAGAAAAGTGTGTGTTAGAATCTTTCGATTAACTGGTCGCTCGTATCCTTTTAGCTTGTTCTCTTTGGTCGAATCAGTTTTTAGTAAGCAAGAAACTGAAAGATGTGGGAATATTAATTGAATATCGTTTAACTTCGATCAATGTTCACGGGAACGGCATGTCACGTTCTCATTTCCATCAATTAATTTTTACATAGCGGGAGCCTCCGAAATGTTTTCATCTTGATGTAACATATACTGCATATAAGATTGTAAACATGGTTTGCAATCGGAGTTAGTGATTTATTATTATTATATTCCGAAGACTGTAACTCTCGTTTGTATCATAGTAATATATGTATCACCAGTTAGTAGAAGAAACATATCGTCGATTTTACGAAAGAATCCTCTTCGATCGAGTAGAGAAAACCTGATTACAAATTTGTATTTTAAACTTTACTTACGTATTTAAGTTTGTAAACATTTTATTCCTGTAAAAATTATGATTCGTTTTTTATACTTTGACGTAATTCGTTATAATTTTATCAACGACTCTCTCTGATAGAAATATTTAGGAATATTGTGTGATTACTTTCGGGAACATTCCATGACTATTTCGTTAAAACCGACGATATATATCTTGTGTAGAACGATTAGGATCGGAATTAAAGAAAGTCACCTTTCGCGACGTGTACATGAAGCTGCGCTTTACGGAGGAAGGATTTTATTCGCCCTCGCATTATCATCGTCGTATGTTTCGCGTATAATTGTAAACTAAAGTAACACGCTTATTTATACTTGAATTAATCTCACGCTTTCGCGAAACTGCACCTGTACCATAAAGTTGACAGAATTTTCGGGTCTATTCTTGTTAACTAAACTCGCGCGGCAGCGTCATGTGGCCTTCCTCCTCGTCTCGCGAGCGCGCGAGTCCGTTTTTAAGAGTGTAGATAATAAGAATAGGCGTGATCGAAATACTTTCTTGGACGAAACTTCGCGTGACGCGAATCGAGACTGCAATTTTCTTAAACTGTGACGTAATCTAGGAGCAACGGATCTTAAATCCGCCTGGTCTTTTTAACTGCAATTTCTCTTATATTTTCTGCAATACAAAGTAAAAACGAAAGTATTCAGATGTTAAGAGAGAAGAAAATAGCGGAATGTATTAGAAGCAAAATTTATACTGTCCAATTTGATCGTGTTTTTCTTTCGATCTCAATCGAACCGATCGAGAATATATTTTATCATCGTGTAAACAAAGATGGAATGAGATTCCAAGTAACTTGACAAGTTTTTTCCGGCTTTATACTTTAATAAAGTGGGGTTTGAGTTTCTCTTTCGAATAAACGTGCGTTGTTAAATGCAGTTAGAAAGGACGATAAATTTTGTACATCACAGTACGGTTGCGACTTATATTTATGAAGAACATTCAAACGGGATCTCACATTACTATGTATTATATATGTAATTGTCCTCTCTCTTAAATATACAGAGTTATGATGTAAGCGATCATTTACACGCGTACATACACACACACATACACACACATTCTCTCTCTCTCTCTCTTCCTCTCTCCAACACACGCATTCACAAAAAGAAATATAAAATCGTGTTACGTTTCGCGCGCGCGACAGCTCTCTAATATTTTCGCATTACATGTAGTAAACTATCACGAGACACCGTGTGCGTGCTTATATATCGTGAAGCACGCAACGTACACCATATATATTTATGATATTCGGGAACGAGCGTGTTTGGCGAACAGGATGTTACATCCGAGAATTGAAATTGAATGTCAAACGCGCCTGGTATAGAATACGCTCTATGGATGATTATTTTCAGCGTCGATTAACTTTGCCAACGGAATGTCAGCGTGCATATCTTCATGAAAGGAGAAAAAAGTTTAAAATTCTTTTCTCTGTCGCAATCGACGCTGGAAATAGTCATTCTATTGCTATTCGATGTACCGTAAACAATGCGCGTGTTTTGCAAATTTCACACCTCGCACGCCTGAATTTGTGCGCTTCTTTTTTTTCCTATCGCGGATATGTGTAAAAAGATACGCGTTTTACGATAAGAATGTAAAAATAATAAAATAATCGAACGCAATGATTCTGCAGATTTTGGAATTACGCATATTCGAATGTTCGAGCGGCGGCTTTGCGAAAATTCTGATTGGAAGAATCAAATTGCAAACGGAGCGGATTTCACCGAAATTTACGACAACGCGCTGCGGCTATAAACCTAAATGTATCTCTTACGCAGTTAAGTATAAAAGATTAGAATACAGTCCGCACCGAACACAAATTCGTTAGTGGAACGCGAAGCCCTCCGTAAACCGTTCACCGGTGAATATCGCTGCGCGAATCTCTCTCCTTCCCGAACTTACCTCCGATGTGTTGTCGATGTGTTATCATCATTGCACTCTTATCACAGACGTGAAAGTTGTCTAATCCTAGAGAATCGATTTGTGCCGCTAGACACGAGAATGTCGAAGGAAGAAGTCTTAGATGAGCCGCTTGCGGCTCGATTTTTTACGCCGGGGTCAGTGATTTCATCGTATGACCTTGTCGTAAGAGGGTGGCGGCGCCTCATCCAGAGACACAGGCGGCGGCGGCGGCGGTATCAGAATGGCGATGTGATAAGGTGGCGGCGGTGGGTTTTGCCGCATAGTCATCGTCGGCACCGTCCCCGTCGCTCTGCCGATCACGCCCTCACTGATACCGGACGCGTTCGTCAAGGCGACGAAGGGGTGATCCTCTTGCATACGGACGCTGTGCTCTGACCGACAGCCGTGATGATGATGATGATGACTGTGACCGTGGCGCCGGCAGAAGATCGAGTACAGGCATGCCGATAGCAGCAGTATCAGCAGCCCACAAAACACGAGTATCTCCAATCCCGGTCCCTGTGGCGTGCAGATAAGAGATAACTGATTAAAGAAAGAAGCGAAGAGAGAAAGAGAGAGAGAATGAGAAAAATTAAATTTCTGATTGGAGTTTTGGGAATCATAAAATTAAGCTTATCTTTAGTTTTAATACATTAATACTGCGAATTTTGTAAAATGTCATTATTCATCGTAACTTTCTAATTTTAATATCTTACAAATTGTTTTAATAGAGCCATTTTTATGAAGTCTTTAAGTAATTTGAAATTGACTTAGGTTTTTATATAAATTTTTTACGTCCGATATCTTTGTGATCTTTAAGTTAAATATATGGTTGCACTCACCCGATAACCGAAGTAGAATTTGGCAGCCGCCACGAAGAATGTCGCTAGTACGAAGGTAATCCAGACACCGCAACGAAGTCGATAGCCGGCCAAATCGGCGTCGCTGAATTCGGAGAAACCCAGCAGGCTCCTGTTCGCGCCATTCGTGCTGGTCACGTTGGACACGTTAGACAAGTTGTTGCTAGTCTCGCTGAGAGCATTGCTGCGAACAATAAATTAAATAAGAGACGATTTATCGCAGATTGCCACACATCTTCCTATTAAACTCACAAACTGAGGGCGAATCATTTATAATTAATCTTTCTTCTGATAGATAAGTGAGTCACCCTGTGTATAAGAAGAGCATGTTCCTCTCAGAATATCTTCTCTCTCTCTCTCTCTTTCTTTTACCGTAGTACCTTTTTGTGTTTTCATTAATTACTTGGGGATGTTGTTCAGCTGGACGAGCTGGGCGGCGTTGAGCGACGATGAATTGTCGTGACGATTCTCGTTGTTGTGGATTCGCGCGGACGTCGTCGTCGGCCGAGTGACGATGCTTCGGCAAGAGTTATTGATATTACTAGGTCCGGCTGATGATGCATTCCCCGCTGTGAAGTTACCTGTCAGGCCCTGGAATCGATGCACCGGGGTTACCATCTGCCTAAGCTCGCCACGGCGCCGACGGTCTGCAAAGACAAGCAATAAGTAAATAAAAATTACGATTAAACATATAATTGAAAAACTGCTTTTTTTCTCATGTAAAAATGTTGATTTGTTGAAATTTTATTCATTCAGAAGAATTTTCTACAATTTTCTTCAAGTTAATCTTTCAAATTTATATTTATTTGATTCGTAGAATTGCTTGTAGATATTTCTAAATTATTTAGGACGGTATATGACAGTGATAAAAAATTCTTTACATTTTTACAGACAAAAGATTTTTTTGATATTTTGGAAATACTTGAATTTATATATTACTATATTTTAATGCTTACTGGAACGTGTTTTAGGCACAGGTGTGGCAGGGTATCGGCGGCCGGTGAAGCCGTAGTACCTGCCAGCCGGTTTGTTAATCCAGAAGTGCATCAGGAAGTCACTGTAATGAGCTCAGAGATCCATCGCAGGCTGGCGATGTATATGGAAATGATCTTCTATCAATGTTTGAGCATTCTTCTCAATACATGACTTTTTTCCTCATTTAATTTAAGTCCTGCTGCCTCTGGCACATACTGTCCATTGCCATAAATGTTATCATGTTGGTGACTTAATAAGTCCATCTTCTTTTAAGGAATGGAACATTATTATGTCCAGTATGCTGAAAATAAAACTGATATGAAATGATAAGACTCGCTTACAAAATAAGAGTAAAAATATCTCCTCGTAAAATTAAAAGAAGCAAAAATGCAAATACATTTTTTAAAAAATGAAAAAAAGAATATTGCAAAATATACTATTTATATAAAAAAATTATAGCACTAAATATTATTTTTATTTCAGAATTTTGTTTAATAAATTATATGAGTATATTCAGTCTTCTGACAAGCAATAAAAAGAAGACATAATTACAATAATAAAAAATAAAAAAAAAAAAAAAGAAAGTATGGAAAAAGAAAGTCTGAAGAGAACAGATGGGACACTATTAGGTTTGTTCTTAAGGTCAATTTCTTTTGTTAAAGATAAAAATACATTCAAACTTTAGTTAGAAAAAAAAAGACAGAAAAGGGCAAATGGAAAAAGTCTACAAATATATATAAAAACATTTTAAAAATATAAAAGCAGAACGTGCATAAAAGAGAACATGTTTATTGCTTTTGCGAAAAGAGCGAAGGAAATGATATTTGCAATACTCACTTGTCTTTCATTCCTTATTCATTTTGCAATATGTCACAGAAGAAATCATATTCGTACTTTGTTATCTATTCGACATCGTGGCGCGGAAACGCGAGACGTGAAATCCGTACTGTCTTTTTATACTTTTACACTTTCCCCTTCGTTCCTCCAAAAACGCGCACTATCATCGTGTCGCTTCTTCTTCTCCTTATCTCGTGGATGTCTGTCCTGTTTGGGACGCAATATCACGATTATCCCTGTTGATTCAAATGGAAAAAGGTTCAGAAGACTGATAAGAGCTACAGTAGACGCGCGTCAATAACAGATGCCTATGTTGGCGCGAGACGTTGTCGTCCATTGCTTGCCGGCGACGGCGCGAAGTGCGACACGAAGTTGTGCGCACGACAAGTAGCGAGAGGTCGATTCTATCGAATATATCAACAATGAAATAGGTTATGCTTCCCACAAGTGTAATCTGCAAGTTGCGGTATAATCAGATATAATTTTGAAAATACATTCATTGCTCGTGAAGTTGCACAAAATAATTTTTATTTTTTCGACAAAATGTTATTTACGATCGAAAAATATGCGATTCGTGTTGGATCAAGATACTTACGACGATATTTCTCCAAAAATGTGGACATCGCTGTGAACAACACTCAAGAATTTGTACTACAGCCTGAGGACAGTTTTACATCAATACGTCGAGAAGGTCAAAAATCCTTGAAGATTGCTCTTCTGGGCGCACCGAATGTTGGAAAAAGCACGCTCGTTAATCAACTTATTAAGAGATCGGTAATTATCAAATTGTTTATGAAAAAATATGAGGGGGACATCTTGCAAAAGTTACTTTGTGAAGAAATCTGCTTCTAATTTTACATTATATTTGTATATTATTGTATTATCTATTTAATATATTTCTATACAATTTTTCATATATTTTTTATTTATTTTTAAATAGGTATGCCCTACATCTTCCAAAGTGCATACTACGCAAGCCAAAACTAATGCAATTTATTGTGAAGATGATACTCAGTTAATATTTATGGACACACCTGGTACGGTTTCTGAGAATGAATTAAAACGATACAAGTTAGCTAACAGCTTCAAAACAGACCCAAAAGTCTCTTCGCATACAGCAGATATTATAGGAATTGTGCAAGACACACAAAATTTATATACCAGAGACAAGATTAATCAGAATATATTGAAATTATTGACTGAAGATATAAGAAATAAGATCCCTATGATCCTGATCCTTAATAAAGTAGACAAATTGAAGAAGAAAGAGATATTGCTGCATCTTGTGAATGTTTTTTCCAAAGGCAAATATTCTCTGAATTTTCATGACATATTTATGATATCTGCTTTGACTGGGGATGGTGTGGATGATTTGAGGGTAAGTTTTCCAACCATTGTGAATCTTTAAATGTATATATTATTGTTTTCAATAGGTAAATAATTATATATAACTGTTGGCAATTATGAATAATGTAATATAACATATATATATATATATATATATATATATATATAATATGTACGCAAATATTATAAATAAATACATTTTATTTACATTTTACAGACTTATTTTCTGGACTCTGCTAAGCCAGGAGATTGGCAATATCAGAACAATGTGTACAGCAATCTCACATGTGAGGATATAATACAACAGACGGTACGTGCAAAGTTGCTAGACAATTTACCGAACGAAGTTCCTTATTGCTTGCAAGTGAGATTAGAACACTTTGATGTGGGACCCAACGATAATATCAATGCGATAATATCCGTTACATGTCCTACCAAGCGTATTGTTAATCTTTTACTGAATGGAAAAGGTAAAAGACTTAAAAATATCGCGGTTGTGGCGGAGAAGGAATTGCGGTATGCTTTTCGAACGTCAGTGAAATTGAAAATTTCTGTACAATTGTGAAATAATTCGCTTTTTACAAAATAAATTTGTTTATATTATTGTTACATATTTTACTATTTTGAAGTAATTTTATTAAAGTAATTTTATTATAGTTATTAGTTTACTATCCAAAAAGAAGACGTTCTCCATTTCCTTTATGATGAGCTGAAATGATTTATTATCTGTTCTATTATTATCTATTTAAATCAGCTCAAAAAATAATCAATCTTACACCAAACTTTATGTAATAAAATGTATATAGATATATTATTTAGTAATTATAAACATTATTGCTGGTGCAGTAGATCTAACTGGGAAAAGTTAGATCTGTGTTCTTCAAGTTGTCAGCGATCCACTTGTTGAACTTTTCCTCTATCTCCGGCGTGAATATTTCTTTCCAGCCGCCAGTCTTTCCTTGTCGGATAAACTTTTCCGGTTTCATCCTATTGTTGTTGGGTGATGCTTGGTTTACCATAGGATTCTTGCGAAAGTTATCTATATTCAAGTGTTTCACTAATTTGGCGATTTGTTCTTCACTGTAGCTTTTGCCGAAGAACGTAGCAACCTTTTCGATAACACCAGGCAAATCCTGTGCAAAATAAATGAGAATTTTTATCTTTAAAAGTTATGATATCTAAAAAGTTGAAGCTAATTATTGAAATAGTATATTCAAGGCCTCAGTTTTTGTGATAAAACACAAATATTTGTTGATGGACAAATGGAATCAGAAAATCATAATAGCGCAATTTTTGACGCAATTTTGTTTTAATTTCTATAAAGAAATAGATAAAGATCTTGAGAAATAAAAAAAAAAAATAAAACTCCCGACTCACTTTATTCAAATCTTCATAAAAGAAGAACAAAGTGTTTGCTCTGTGTCTTTTCGCCCAGCCTTCTTTTACATGCTCCCAATATGGACTATAGATCGCTGAAATTACAAAAGGTAAATAAATGAAATAAATATACATGTTAAAAATATTGATGAAAAAAGGGAAATTTAGTTAAAAAATTATCCATATTTTGCAGAACCTACTATGATCGGCGATGAACATATCACAAAAATGCTCGAAAGTTCCCGCATACTGCAAGTGTTCCTGATGTTTCTGGAAATGGTACCACGAAACTACCACATCTTTAGGATTCCTCGCGACATAAATGATCTAGAAAGGATATTTCTGAAATTTTTCTTGAACGCCTAAATCATATTTTTTTCTCTATATGCATAAATATATGTTATGATATATTTATATATTTAATTAAAAAATCAGAGAACTATATTGTAAAAACTCACTTTGCAATCGCTGTTTACGACTGTTGGCAGTAGTTCGAGGGGCAAATGACTCTTGATGAAACGCGGCGAAGGCTGATCTTGCACATAATTTATTGACCCTTCTGCATGATTTCGTTCCGCAGTTGTGTGGTTATCTATTAGTACACTAATTCTAAAAAAGAAAATTGTATAGTAAAATATTTTTTAGAAAGAAACAATATATTTTTCGTAATCATTACTCTATATAAGATAAACGATAAGAGAAGGATGCTTGTTATATAAATTTGGGGCAAAGACACAGAAGCAAAATTTTCTTCACGCATTTTTTTTTAATTGTGTACTTCTGATAAAAGGAGAGGCAACAAAAATTAAATTAGAAATATGCGTTTTGTTTTTGTAGTTTTTATATCAACATTATATCGTACTCGATAAAAGGAAATCTCTCTAACAAAGTCCTTCGATGCGCCTCGTCGAAATTTAAGTCATTTGCCACCAACCATGTGAGTTCTTGCATCACGGTTGTACCTGATTCACACAATATAAATAATTAATTAACAATTCTTTCAATTTTATAATTTTCAAGAAAAGAATATAGATTATATTTTTGTTTAAGTAAAAACTAACCAGAAATTAATTTATCAACAAAGAGTTATAAAATTTTAGCATATTTGAGAGCCGGCTTACAAAATCAAAGATGCTTTTATTTACAAAATTGTTAAAGCTAACACAATTATTTGTATAAGATTATGAAGATCAATTCAGACAAGAAGCAAGATACTTAATTACAAGATATTAAGAAAATTAAATATTTCTTAAAATAAGAAAACAAGAATTGTGAAAAATCATTGGCTATTTGAACGTTTCTGTTAAATAAAAAAGGATTTACCTGATCTAGGATACGTAACAATCCATGTATCATCCGGATGGATCTTGAAGTTGTATAACTTGTCGCCGTTTTTGGCGTATCCGTACGGTAAATACCATTTTTTTTCACCGACTTTAACAAAGGCACGCTTTTTAGTCAAATATAATTTCTCCAACTCATCCCCTAATTCACTCGCGATAGGTTCTACTTTTAATTCTGTAATAGACATACTTCGTTAACTTCTCACTGCAAAATGAATTATAGTTATCTGAATTCCACTCAAATATTTTTTACTGATTACATAAACTGAAATGTTTTAAGAAGATATTATAGCAAGTTCTTGTTATCATTAAGTGAAACACGATAGATAAATATCGATAAAAAATTATATAACATTGATGCAATCTATTTTGAATTTTTCTGAATGAAATAAAAACAATCATTACATTTGTTTCAAAATGTCATTTTATTAATAATGAGTTTGTACTACTTTTCATTTATTATACGATGAATAACATTTATATATATATATATATATGTATATATACATATGTATATCAATTTTCAAACAAATCTTTAAAACTGAAATTGACATACTGACTTTTACTGATAATTGACGTAGTACATTTTGAAGAACATGTTTACAAAAATTATATTAATATATTAAAGTTACATAAGATACGTAAAATAATGACAATCATTACAATAAAATACAAAAATAGAAGTCATGAAATAAAAATTACACACTTAAAACTGTTGTAATAAATGTTTGATAAATTTTGTTCTTGCAGGAAGATTCATGCTTAGTTCATAAAATCGGTTTATTTTATAAATGTATAAACATGGTCTATGAATTTAAAGCATAACTTATGTCACGTTAATTCATAAATTAATTTTAAATATAGTTTATAAATTTATAAATTTAAAATATTTGTAAATTATATTTTTCAAATTTAAATTTATAAATATTTTAACTTTAAAAGTTTTATGAATTTAAAAATAAAGCCGATAATTATATGTCAAATATATTAAATTACAATATATGTTTTCTCATATATTTCGGGTCATTTGAGTCATCAAAGTCAAATTGCCTTATCGCTGATTGTTGCCATATTGATAGTATGAATGCTGAATGCTGTTACTATTGTTCTTATTGTTAAATTCTTGATGAATCTATATAAATATTAAAATATTTATTAAAAACAAATATTGATTATTTGATTTTTATCTGATTATTTTTTTTATCCGTTTTTATCTCGTTTTTTATCTGATTTTTGTTATACTCATTATGCTCGTATGGAGTACATTAAATGCAAATCGAGGAAAGTAAAAAATTATTAATATATAATAATGATATAAAATAACATTAATAAAACTTATTGTTCCTTTTCATTATAGTCTACTTACTTATAATTTTAGATCTTGTACAGTCTGCCATATGGCTGGATGTTGTTTTTTTATATGATTTTCCACATTCGGTGAAATATTCATGTTTACCTTTGTATCACAAATCTTGCATTGTACACGATAAGTTCCAATTTTTTTCCAATATTTCCATTCTAGGATGCGATATTGATACTTCGTCCGATCTTTTTCGGAATGTTCTGATAAATGCGTGCGCATGGTTTTGTATGAATAAGGTACATTGGAACGTTTTATTGGTAAAGTGAATTCACATATAATACATTTTACGGTTGTTTCGTCAATATAGTCGAAGTACGAAACCATTTTATGAAATACAGATTTTATAAATACATCGCCTTTTACAATTTCCTTATGCTGTTCTGATGTATGTTCCCATAAATGCGCACTTTGAACGTACATAGTCTTATAATTACAAGACACACATTTTGCTCTAAAATAATGTAACTTTTGGTAACAATGTTTCAATACGTTGATGTTTGAGACATTTAATGAAATAACTGCCATTGTGCACGGTTTCTAGAACAGAATACGTATTACTGAATACAAGTCCGTTTTATCGAAGAGTGTTGATAGAAAAGGTCGATTGAAGGAAGTATAGTTTTTCATTTGATTGTAAATATTGATACATCGTTCGGACCTATTCAACAATCATCATTGGATCATTTTGCTGTCAACATTAGTAATATTTTCTGAGAAGTTACAGCATTTTTATTATACAAATCAAAATTTTTTTAAAATTATATTTTTTAATTAGAGCTATATTACTTTTGCGGCGACCGAGCATGCCTACCGAATGGCAATTCGGATGGCGCGCCTACCGAACGGCAACCCGACCAACACAAGCGTTATACTTGTCCTGCGATTTCCTTTCTAGGTTTATATTATTTTATGACATAAATGATTGTAAGGTTATGGTATCGTTGTGTTGCATATACGCGGGAAATCTGTCAAAAGTGCGTAAAAGCTAATAGAAGCGGTGTAATAATGACGCAACGTCGTATAGAGTAAGTAGTTTAGCAATAATTAGAATTTAATTAATACTTTAACACTAAATTATTTTAACAAACAAATTCAACAGTTATCAAATATAATTTAGCGGATAACATGATATTCATAATTTAAGTAATTTCTCGACAATTTTTTTCTATGTTTGACGTAATTTTTAAATGACAATTTGCGTTATTACAGTTCTTTTTTCACTATATTATCGTCCAAGAAAGAGAATTCGAGTCAGGATACGTTGGAGAGGTATGTTTCGTTCCATAAATGTTAATAATCTGCTTTTATAATTATGCTAAAAATGTTTGCGACTTGCTCGGGCCTGAGCTCGCTAGTTCTATCGGCTCGGCGTCGCGAATTCGCAGCTGCGACTTGCAGCCGATTTATTGTCATTTTTAATCGGATACATACAACCAACAGTAACAAGGCTGACAAGCAGAAGGATCAAGTTGCATTAGGAAATGGGAAACGGAAGAGAAACAAGAGCAGTGAATTTGTCAGGTGATTAAAGCCAACAGTTTTTTTTGTTTATTGCTAGTGTCGAGAATTGTTAAAAGTTATATTTTTGCTTTTCTATCGATAAAATTGCATATAAACACTTGCTTCTGCAGTTCTCCTTCAAAGAAATCTGATACTAAACTTAAGAAGCCAAAAACAGTTTCCAAGACTCCTTCTCCAATTGCAAAGTCTCATGCAAAAGGTAATTATATTGTTGAACATCATATATTTAATGTAATATATATATATAATTATAATTTGTTTTTAAGGAGCTACTCCAAAAATAAAGTTGGATGAAGCTTCAGCTAAAGAATCAAAAAAGGCAGAAAAAAGAAAACTGAAAGATTCGGCCTAATGTACAGAAAAAGAAGGAAAAAGATGCAGCAGTAAGTAAAGTTGAGATAGCAGAAAATACTGAAACAGAAAATGGTAAAATTAAAAGTAAAACAGAAAAGAAATCTACATCTTCAGAAATAAAATCTGTATTTGATGAGACAGAAAAAACAAAGAATGTAAAGAAGAAGCGAAGTAGGATACTTCAGATAGTAGATTCCAGCGATGATGAGGATCATTTATCAGTAAGCTTAGACTTTTTAATTCTTTTAGAGAAATATTTGAATATACATTTAAATTTATTATTTTTATTAATTTCTAAAAATTATGTTTTATAGTTACCAGAAAGCCCCCAAAAAACTGAGGATAATGATAAAGAGACAAAAATTGAAAGCTTAGACAAGTCTAATAAAAAGAAAAAGAATGATTCAGATGAGGAAGTTGACAAGAATGATTCAGATGAGGAAGTAGACAGAAATGGTTCAAATAAGAAAGTGGACAAGAATAGTTCAGATGAGGAAGTAAACAATGTTACTTCGGATAATGAAGAGAAAAGCAAAAGCCCGAAGAAGGAGTCTACGCCTGAGAAGAAGTCATCTAAGAAAATGCACAGCTTTTTCAGTAAGTATTTGAGGACTTACATATATTGTAAAAATTATTTATAAGTATTGTAAATTAAATTTTTAAATGTATAAACAAGTAAGAAAGACGTAGTTCAAAAATTAAAAGTCTTTTATTTAAACAGCTATTTAAACGATCATGTTGCAGCGTCTAAGCAAAAAGACAACGCAGAGGATGAAAAAAAGGGCAATACAAAAAGCGCCAACCAGTCTTACAATCCTAGCGCATCTAACTATCATCCGATAGACAATGCATGTTGGAAACGAGGCGATAAGTAAGTTGAAATTATTATCGAAAAAGACTTGAAAATATTTTAGAAATCTGTAAACTTCATGAAACTTGCAAACATTTAATGTTTCTTAAATTTGCTCGCAGAACTCCGTATAGCGCATTTGCACGCACTTTGGAACTCATCGAGGAGACAAGCGCAAGGCTGAAGATAGTAGAAATATTATCGAATTACTTTCGGTCTGTTATAGTTCTGAGCCCCTCGGATCTCCTGCCAAGCATGTATCTGTGCCTTAATCAATTAGCGCCGGCATACGAAGGTAAATATTGAAACTGCATTATTATTCCCGCAGAAGAAGCGATATTTAGTTGGCATACAGTTATTTAAACAATTATTTACATTGTTAAATAGTAATGTTAATTTTGTTGCAGGAATTGAACTTGGAGTCGCTGATACAAACTTGATGAAGGCGATAGCGCAGTGTACCGGTAGAACCCTGGCGCAAATTAAAGCCGATGTTCAAGAAGTCGGCGATTTAGGACTTGTAGCGGAAGGTAGCAGATCTAATCAGAGAACTATGTTTCAACCGGCGCCACTGACGGTTCCCAACATGTACTCTAAGCTAAAGGAGATCGCTCAAATGACAGGGCACGCGGTAAACTACAGAATTTATATTATTAGGACACAAATATAAATTTTTAAATGAAAGAATTTGCAAAGCAGTTGTAAAAATTCATACAACAAAAGTTTAAAAAGTTGAGTAATTTATGTAAATTATATGTTTTTTAAACAGTCTGTAACGAAGAAGCTGGATAAAATTCAGACGTTGTTTGTGGCGTGCCGTAATACCGAGGCGAGATACCTCATCAGATCGTTAGCCGGAAAGCTTCGCATTGGATTGGCAGAGCAATCTGTTTTGCAAGTAAGTTGCTTGCGCTATCGCGCTGCTGCGATCGATATTAAAAATCTATTTACTTAGGCTTTGGCTCTGGCTTGTGCTATGACACCACCAGAACAAGAGTATCCACCAGAGATTCTGAACGCGAGCAAAAAAATGTCGAACGACCGCTTCAAGGAGAAATACGATGAAATAGCGCTTATACTGAAAACAACATATTGGTAAGATCCTTTTGAAAATATCACTATCCTAATTAAAATAATTAAGATTCTATTTTAAACAAAGTATTTCTCAACAGATGTTGAATGACAAATATTACATTTTCTAATTTAATAATTAATATAATAAATTAATTCTTTAATTTATATTAATTGCGCAGTGAATGTCCGAATTACAACCTCATAATTCCTGTTCTACTGGAAGATGGAATTAGTGCCTTACCGAGCAAGTGTAAACTCACTCCTGGAATACCTTTGAAACCTATGCTGGCGCATCCTACTAAGGGTATTCAGGAAGTTCTGACGCGATTCGAGGGTTTGAAATTCACGTGCGAGTGGAAATATGACGGAGAGAGAGCACAGGTTTGTTATTCACTTCACTTTACAAACTTCCACACAATGCCGTATTGCATGGAAAGAAATGACACGAGAAGTGTATGATATTTTAAGTCGATCGAAATATTAAAATTCTACAGATACACGTTGCGGACAACGGCCAGATCAATATCTACAGCAGAAATCAAGAGAACAATACCAGCAAGTATCCAGATATTATCAAACGTTTTAAGAACACTTGCGGCGATCTGGTCAAGAATTGCGTACTCGATTGCGAGGCGGTCGCCTGGGATAGCGAGAAGAAGCAAATCCTACCGTTCCAGATACTCAGCACGAGAAAGCGAAAGGTAATGGTGTAATTATCGAGAGGCATAATCGCGTTATTACAGTTATATTGCTGCAACAACTATAACTGCTGTAATTTTAATTTTTGCTATTGTTACATTTGACTTTATTAATTATATGATTGTAATAATTACAATCGTTATAAAGTAACATTCTGTTTTTGTTCTCAGGATGCCAACGAAGAGGACATCAAAGTGCAAGTGTGCGTGTTCATGTTCGATCTGTTGTATCTAAACGACGAGCCGTTGGTGAAGGAACCATTCGCAAAACGTCGCGAGTTGTTGAGAGAGCACTTTAAGGAAGTGGAGGGCGAATGGAAGTTCGCCAACAGCATGGATACTACGACGATGGAAGAGGTGCAAGTCTTTCTGGACGATTCTGTGAAAGGAAATTGCGAAGGTCTGATGGTGAAAACATTGGAGCAGGACGCAACGTATGAGATCGCGAAGCGATCGAGAAACTGGCTGAAGTTGAAGAAGGATTATCTGGGCGGCGTCGGCGATACACTTGACGTGGTTGTAATCGGTGGTTACATTGGGAAGGGAAAGAGGACCGGCACTTACGGTGGCTTCCTCCTGGCTTGTTACGATCAGGAAAACGAGGAATATCAGAGCATTTGCAAAGTAAGTTTTTAACAGCAATATAGTTTACGAAAATTTAAATATTTTTCATATTTGTTTATGAAAGTATCGAGTTATCAAGTATAAAAATATATGACAAATTTTGAAGCTTTAACTGTTTACTTCAATATATTATTTCTAGCTCATTAATATATATTATTTCTTCGAAAACAGATTGGTACAGGCTTCAAGGAAGAAGATCTTGAGAATCACACTAAATTCTTCAAGGATCATGTAGTACCCCAAGCTAAATCGTATTATCGCTTCGACAGCAGCCACGAGCCAGATCACTGGTTCGAGCCTGTTCAAGTGTGGGAGATCAAGTGCGCAGATCTCTCCCTTTCGCCCGTTCACAGAGCGGCTACTGGAATAGTAAGTTCAGAAACTTAAAAATAAAAACATTTATTAATGTTTCTGAGTTGAGGAATCTTATCTACCTGGAAAAGATTGTGTTATTGTGATATTTCGGAGATACGTGTCTTTTTTTATTAATTAATAAAAATGACAGAAGAAAACAGATATATTCGACAAAAGATGTTGCGATAACGTTTCTGATTAATCCATCTGCATCTCTATTTTTGAAATCTTTCTTTGATGCTCCAATTATCTTAATTAATATTCTGTGAATGAAAAAAATTACATTGTGTTAAATTTTTTGTCTAGGTTGATTCGGAGAAGGGAATATCTTTGAGATTTCCACGATTTATCAGGATTCGCGAGGATAAGAACTGCGAACAGGCCACCTCTGCTCAGCAAGTAGCGGACTTGTACAACAATCAAGAACAGATCAAGAATCAAACGTCGAAATCGAAAGTTACAGAGGAGGATTTCTATTAAGTTCTTTTCGTTTTTTATTTATTTTTCTCGACACGCACAAAGCCAGTAAGTCCTCTATTTTTTCTTATAATCACAATTTTGTAAAAGCTGCTGTAAATAAAATATTTGATATTATAACAGAATTAATATGCAACTGAAATTTCTTTCTTGTTGCGTCAGAAGTTAGGCTACTCTTCGTAAAAAATCATCAAGAAATTATAATTAATATTTTGTTTATCTTTCTAGTTTTATAGTGCATTTTTTTATGTGCATCATTAATCGATTAATAATTCGTCACCTCTATGAATACTACGAAAGAAATGATTCATCTCGGCGGTGCGAGGTGCTCTTTATCTAGGACGCGCTTATCCTCTTATCTTATATTTGTTAATGATAAAGCACCTAGCGTAAAGCAGTGATACTCGGGCACCTGTAGACGTTCCCGAATCGGTTAATTACGTTTCCATCGCGCATTGCGTATTCTCAAAATAGTATTTCATTCATCGATAAAGCGTGAATTCGCAACGTGGATATCTTCCGCAAGGCACGAGGAGATGGTCGTCAAAGGCACTGGACCGCAGCTGGAAAAGCAGATTGGCTGCATCAAGTTCACAATTTTCTGCTTAAACGCGATAATATGGGTGTGTGCGCAAAGCTTTCTTTATGATTGCATCGTCTTGTGAAGTTAATTTGTGATAAAGTAAAATAATATATTTATTTTAAAAATCAATTAAGAATAATAGATTAACGAATAAGATGAATGAATGAACGATTGAGTAATTTTTATCAGGTAATAAGTGAAAGAAAAAAAAAATGAATAGGCTTTTATCACATACAATGGACTTAACAATTATTAAAATTGAAGATTTAACTCGAGATATATAAATTCTGTTCTATTTTTTTTCTTTTAAGAAAAATATTAAGACTGATTTCTTAAGTGATTGTTAGATAAATTCTTGATAATTTATTTATTTAAAATATAAGATATATTTTAATATATATGCATTCCTTTTTATATATATAATAATTTTAATTTCTAAATAAAGTTAATGTTGTTACTTAATAATAATAGAATAGGTTCTTAAATCAAATTCATTTACAACGTGGAAAGAATTTCACGCCAAACTCAAATTAGCATTCGAGATCGAAAAAAATTAATTATGTGTGTGATTTCATTAAATAAATTATCACGTAATAGTGTAAATTTAATACGCATATCATTTTTTTCTATTACTAACTTATCTCGTTATCGCACAGTCATATTTAATCACGCTTGAAACATTTCTCAGGGAAAATTGTTATCTTTCTGTCATTAATTAATGTATAATTAAAATTTTTGTTATTTGAATTAAGATCTTGGGTTGTGCGATGTTCGGTCTGTCGATATGGATGCGGTTCGAGCCGATATTCGAGGAGTGGGTGGAGTTCCTGAACATGTATGAGTTCTATATTGGAATTTACGTACTGATCGCCACTTCGGTAATCGTCATGGCTATCGCTTTTATTGGCTGCGCCGCCGCTCTTATGGAACACATATTAGCTCTGTACACCGTAAGAATATTTATCTCTTACTTTTTGTTTAATAATTTTAATTTTTTATTAGTTCAAATTAAAAAAAATTGATTTTTGAAAATACTTTTTTAATTTTTCTTAAAACCAAGCTATAATCTAAAAAAATTTTTGGTATCGCGAATTTAATAGAAACGTATAAAGATGTGTTTAAAAAAATATTTTTTTTAAATTTTAGCACGTGGGTCTTCAAGCATTCTGTTTCATCTGCGGTCTAACTGGAGCGGCGGTCATTCTTGATTACTCTACATATGATAGCCAAATTCAACCCATCATAGAGCGGTCCATGTATAATCTTATCAGCAATTCCCACAAAGAAAATGCGAGCTTCATCTTGAGAGTAATTCAGGAAACTGTAAGAAAACTTCTTGTTGAAAGAAAGCTCAACTCATTTTAAAATTGGATGACTTATCTTTGACGAACTTTTGACAGGTCGGATGCTGTGGGGCTGACGGACCCAGGGATTACACGCAGATGCACAAACCACTGCCTACCGAGTGTCGGGACACCGTCACCGGAAATGCTTTCCACCACGGCTGCGTCGAAGAATTGTCTTGGTTCTTGGAGGCGAGATCGGGATGGCTCGCCGGTCTGGCGATGGCGTTGTGCATGCTTCACGTAATAATGGAGCTTAGAAGATTAATTTAAAACATTAAAACTAATAATTTTGAATTAATTAAGACACTTTTCACTATTTTTGTTTTATCTCAATTGTTGCAGGTGATTATAGCTGTCCTGACGCTGATACTTGTACGAGCGATCAAGAAAGAGGATGAATCAATTACGTTCAAGCGTTAAAAGATTACATCTGCGATGTAACAATGGTAGATTGTAATTATTCCAATCGCAATTCGAATTTTTATAAGACAAAACATTTTATAAGAAACTTGAAGATGTAGATTTTTATCATTGACAAAAACTAATAGAGTATAGAGATATATTAAGACATTTTTATATTTGTCAGGGAATGATGTGTTCCTAATGTATTCTTTTAATACAATACCGAAGACTCAATTTTCAACGAATTGCGTTTTCGTTATAACACATCTGTTCAGAGAGCATGCAACAATTCTCGAAATTACAGACCGACTTTATCAGAATACATATAATTATCATGAACAAACATATCATTTATAATATTTTATATAGCTAATGACATAAACATTACGATTTTAATACGCTGAAAGATTATAACTTTCCCATATTTTAGATTTTCTTACTTTATCATTTGTGCTTATTAAGTTGTCGTTCATAAATGATTAATTAAGCTTGTTAGACTGTTTAGAAGACTGTATAAAACTTTCTTGTATTTTTAATATTTCCCATATGAACACAAAATTTGGAAATTTGGAAAGATGTTAAAACACTGTAAAAGTTTATGTTTTTATCTTATTTATTTACAAAATACATAATATACATATAATATACGATATACAATATTATAATCAATAATTTATTTACAATAATTCCCGTCCGATTACGATCATCGCCGCCGCTTCATTAGATCGTATAATTCAGTGTGCTGCATCTTTGCAGTTTTTTTCATTGAATATATAATCTCGGTTTGCATTCTTTTTACTTGCAGCAACATGCGTTTGCAAAGTATTATAAATTTGAAGCGCCGCTATATACCTTTAGTTTAATTCTATATAAATAATTATACCAAAATTCTCAAAAGACCATGTTTTGATTCGAAATTTTATAAGTATATAGTATGAATTCTTCCTCAACAACTATATTTACTTAATATTAAATTATTTTAATGTTTTAAATTACGTACGTATAATAGAATTATGAAATGCTCATAAATATTGTTTTCTTCGATTAAAATTTTATTAAGTGTCTCATTTTCACGATATATTGCAAAAACGTAATGCATTTATATAAAAAAATTAGCAAGAAAAACTTATTGCAGTCATTAAATAAACAAAATCACATCGTTTGCATTTAGAATCATATCGTTAATTAGAAAAGTTGCTCTTACAAGTTTTATCAAGATTAAAATCTAAAATTTAGCTCAGAGAGCTTATCTGGCAATCGATCGCAATCGAAGTGGATCGCGAAGGGGGTGTGGGTCAGATCGGAATCTAACCGACGAAGGGGTAGGGCGCCGGGTAGGGCGCCGGATAATAACCAGGGTACGCCGGAACCGTCGGCTGCACCGGCACCGTGTTGGTAACGTAGGTGGTCAGCTGCGTGGGCACGACCTTTGTGGAGAAGAGAGTGGTGTAAGCGGTTTTGGCGCCGAAGGTAAGCTTCAGCACCCGCGACTCGGACAGAGTTGCGAGAGTCTGGGTGACCAGAGGCGCACTCGTCACCGTGAAGTGCGGCTGCTGCGGGAACAGCGGTAGCTGCGGCACCTGCGGCACTTGTGGCTGCAGCACTGGACTCAGGGTGGACGTGCCGAACTCGTAGGACGTCCTAAGTAAAATAAATAAATGTAAAAAACTTAAAATTTTAGATATTTAATTTAAATTTTATAACGCAGTGAATGTAATTAATTTTCATATTTATTCAAAGAACATTACTTCTCGTTAATTTGTCAAACGTAACACCAAATACTGACCTGGGCACGGTGCCGACCGGCCTGGACAGCGTTGAATAGATGGTATTTCCTGAGTTCACCACGGGAATTACATGCGACTCGTATAGCGTCTCCAGGGTGATCACCGGTCTGGACGTGGTGATGACTTGCGGCTGCGGTTGGCCGAAATATTTCAGTAAAGCCAATTGCTGCGCCTGTTCAGGCGTGATCTGAGACTCGGCGCTGCTGCTGGTCGCAGCATCGTTCTTGACTTTGGACGGCGACACCGACTTGAAGATATCCAAGTCGGAATCCGGATCGTTGCTGGGGACCACCACCCTCTTGGGCACGTCTTCGTCGTCGCGATCGTCGTCCCCGAAATCGAGCTCGAGGTGCAGCTCACTGCCGGCCTCGTCGAGCTTCGAGTTGAACTCGTTCAGTGTCTTGCTCGGGATAAATTGATAAATCTCCATCGGCGGTAGCGTCTTCGTCGCCGTTACTACTCGGGCGATGTTGTACGTCTGCACTAAGGTCAACCGGGTGGTGCTGTTGCCGGCGTAGATCACCGGCAAGAGATGCGTCTTCAGCAGCGTCTGCGTCGTCGAGAACGTCTCCGTCAGCGTCTCCAACGGTGGCGTCGCCTGGGCGGCATCCAGGGATATCGCTGGTAGCGTCGCGACGGACGAGTCGAGCGGCAGAGTCGACTCGTAAGCGGCCGCGGTGTTTGCCAGAATATTCTCCGTCAGCGGTTCGGTGGGCGAGATCGAGCTGCTCGGCTCGGCCGTCGCAAAGGTTTTCTTTATGGTGGAAGTCACCGTGATGTAGCGGGTGTTTCGCATTGTTCCTACCTAAAAAAAAAGAAAGAAATATTTTTATATTTAACAAATAAATGAACTATTCAAATAAAGTTAAAAGAGTTTACTTGGAAGGTATAAGGCGATTTGATAGTAGCAATCTCGAAGTAGATGTTGTCGAGATCCGCCGCTGTGGAGATTTCCACATTGAGCGTTTCCGCCAGCAGGATTTGTTCTTCGGCGTGCTGCTGTTGATCCTGCACGCTGACACTGGCGATGTCTTCGCTCTCACTGGGATCCAATTCGTCCTCTGTCAAAGATAGCTCCTTTCTCTGAGCGACGTTAACGACGCCGGGTGAGGTCAAAGCAGCGTTGGCCGTCGACACTAATGTCTTGCCTTGCTCGTCCAAGATTGTCACGAAGGACGACTCAGTTGTGCTCGCCTCGGTCGTCGACGCTCGCAGATCTTCCTCGTCTACCTGCTTGCGAATCACGACCCGCGGCTTCGGCGTGGTTTTATACGACCAGCGACCTTGCGTCCGCGGCAGTTTCACTTTCGGCACTGGGAGACTCGCCGTAGGCAATGGTTGCTGGTCATTGCTCTTCGGCTTCGTCGACTGTTTCGAGGGCGTGCTGATGAACTGACTGCTTGGCCGGAAACCACTGCGGCGGCGGCTAATTGGTGTTTCTGTGGTGGTGGTGATCGCAGGACGATTCCTGAAGAGAAAACGTGGCTATTCTCGGTGAAGATGAAACGAAAAGTTTATTTTGCATCGAATCATTCTATCGCATTTTTTATTTTGTGCAAGAGAACATCGTGATAAAATTAATGGTTGTTCTTATAAATTAATTAGTGATTAATTCTTCTAATTGCCGTTTCTTTTAGGGATACTCACTTAAAATTCGGTCGTGTCGTCGTCGAGCGATTTTTACTTCCTCTCGTTTGCTGCGGTTCGCTGTTATCATAATCGTCGGCGATTTTGTTCCGGAACTTCGGTCTCGGCGGATTATTCGGGGCCGAGTGTCTTCGCGTCGTTCGCACCTGAGCGCCTAATTAAAAAATTCCTCGTTAAACACAAGCTTCATATTCAACTTCTTCGATAGATCTAGATTAAAGAACATATTTCTCAAGAAATTATAAAATTTATATTTGTTATAAATTCATCACTCATAATAAAATCTCGAGATTGCTTAAGATTTATCGCAGATGAAATGCTCACCAGATGACGCACTGAAGAGACCTTCCAGCGGCAGCGAGGATTCGTCTTGCTGATAGGTCGGGGTGGGCTCCAGCTGGAGCTTGTGCTTGCCATGCTGCGGGCCGATGGTCTTCAGGATCCGCTGTGTGCTGGACGGTCGGATCTTACCGTCGGCCACCGGCGCAGCCGGCACCGTCAAAATTCTGGACGAGCTCTGCAGCACCTGGGCGTACTTGCCGTTGATGTAAGTGCCGATCACGCTGGTCTCGTGCACAGTCGTGAGGCCGTCCTTCACGATGGTACCGCCGAGTTTGGTCACCAGGCCGGTCGGGTTCTCCTTGTCTCTTCGTGTGGTGGCACGCGGCTTGCTAGCCTTCGACGAGGGTCGCAGATTTATCAGCTGTTCAGGATCAAGATGACAATTAAAAAAGGTGTTGCAGTAACAATTTCGTTAATAATTTTAACAATAATTTTAACCCGCGATTTAATAAAACTAGGAGAAAATGGATTCAAAAATATACTTTAACAGAAAATAGATAGAGAATTTGATGAAAGTCATAAATATAGCAAGATTTTCGAATTATATTTAAAAAACTGCTTTATGAAGAAGCTTATTGTGATAATAATTATGTACACAAAATACATAATTAATGACATAATTTATAATTAGAACTGATAATATTAACAGTAAAAGAAAATAGTACGTGCTAAAAAAAAGTTGAAAAAAAATTCCGGAATGTTGGTTTTGAATTTCCTCAATCTTCAATATTTTCCAACGCAATAACGTTGGAAAAGTTCCGTGTTCGGCACGCTCTGCGGGTGAAACGGATTTATCGGCACGATCGGAACGGACTTTCACGCTGATCGCCGCCGTCGAGGGACGAGTAAGAGGGGCAGGTGGAAAGGATCGGCTAGAAAATCGATTACGGCACGCGGAAAATTACGCTAACGCAATTATACCGAATAATTTCGCGGTAGTTTTGCGCGAGAGTTATCGTGAAAGTCGGTTGTGGATGCGATGGTTGCGCAATTTCACAGCAAAACGAAGAACGATTTTCACGGCGACCTTCTCGTCTAGCTAACCGGATAACCCATTTTTCCATCGGGTGTCCGGCTAAAACGCGACATTCCGTCGATCAGCGAAACTCGTTTCGGCGCATACGACATTAGATATCGTTAATGAAGCGATCCGGTTTGGCGACAAATAGCGGAATCGAAACCAGGTTCTCGATTTTCATATTTGCGACTGTCGCTCGTGAAGATCAATGCCGTTTGTACAAACTGGATATTTGAATTTTACGACTACAAAATCATTTCTACGACTGCATTCTGAACGAGCTAATGCCACACATTTCCGTTTAAATGAATCATATATCTCAATTATAGATTACTCCGCAAAAAATAGGGAACATTTTTGAATGCCATTCACGATTTGGGAATAAAAGGAAAATAAATACACTAGAATTATTTATTTTTGTAGTTTCAGTTATTTTTTTATAGATTTTACGAACCGTGTAGGTTTCGTCGATCACTTCCGTCGGCTGCTTCGAAAGAAAATCATATTCCGGTTCGGCGAGATTGTTTTTCACACCTGGAGTCTCATCCTTGGCGCGTATCTCAACGACCGAGGACAATATGGGTGTCTTCGTTGTCACCTGCTTATTTGGCTCCTAAAGAATCATGCCATCATGTTCACTCCATCGCAAAATCTTTATTTAATTTCAACAGTTTTTACTATTACGAATATAATTACGAAAGACTTCAAATATCCTATTTTATAAATTCTGTTATATATTTATTGCCTTTTATTCGGGAAAATTCTATTAATAAATATTATAATGTGTCGAGAGATATTGTAATAATTCAATTCTTAAAAAATTTTAATTATAATAACTAAAATAATAAATATGATTCTCACACCTGGCTCTTTGTAGGTTTCGGCGCGGCGTTCTCGGACGGGTTCGCCACGTTCTGCTCGACCACGGAATTCACAACGATCTTCGTCCCCTTAATCTGCTTCTTCGTCTCGCCGCCCTGAGCCTCGGCCTTGTGGGTCTTGCTGGGCTGGATGTCGGGAACATTCTTCTTCTGCTCCGTCGTCGGCTTTGTGTGAATCGCCGGCGTGGAGGACGTGGTTTTCTTCCCGGTATCCCCCTCTGGAAACAAACGACGTATTTGCATACCCGACCACTGTCGTGAATAAAAATTGCAGCTTCACGAGGCCGAATCGAATATGTGAGAGTAAAAAAGCATGTGCTGACGGCCAACACCCGCGCCGAAGGTCTCTAGTCGAACTCTTTATGCTTTAGAGAGAAAAAAATTCAAAATATATGGAAGATTACTGTCTAATTAAATTTAAACTATATTTATCGATTGTTATATTGTTTTTATCGATTGCTATGTTATTTCAGTTTTATTTTCAAGAGAGGATCAACATTTTTAGCGCTCCTGGTAAATCTCTTGTGACTTTAAGACCTATATATATGCATGTTCGTTTAGAATACAAGAGGAAGCAAAGGAGAACAGCCTTACACTGAGTGGGTGGTTTAAAAAGTCAAGGAGAGGAGATGACAAGGGAGCCATGACGAGTGAACAATGAGCATGATCTGTACGCAGACGGCGATATGCTAAGGAGATTAGGCTCCAAGATGCCCCCCGTCAAGGCTCGGCGCGCATACAGAACTCTTCAGCAATTCAAGGTCCTGTTCGCTGCTCGAAGGATCGAAACATGGCATGGCGTAATAAAAAAGTGTCGATTGCGTTTAGAGAGTAATTCCTGTCATCATTCATAACTCAAAAAATATCATTACGACACCTCACGATTAGAACCAATCGCGGATCTTTCGCTTCATCAGTTGCAACAGTCTCCGATAATTTTTTTTCTCTAGATTCCTAGTGCGGAACCTCAGTAAAGTTCCATATTGAACGATGATTGATGATCGAGTGAGGTAAGCACTTATGCCACTTTAAGTCAACAATTAAAGGGATATAAATAATGATTGGTTTAGGCGTCGTTTAGCCGTATTTTGCAAGAGAATGAAAAACTTGATATATCAATTATATTAACAATAATGGCGGACAATTAACCCGGCGAAGCTTTAAAAAATAATTTTAGAAATTCAATTGTTATTATTAATGTACTCTAAAGTGTCTGACGTAATCAGCCAGATTTATCAATAAAATTTTTAAGCTACGGAGATGTCTACCTGGTGGAGCACTCTGAGGGCTGAAGACCATCACCGTATTGCCGATCGTCGTGGTGAAGTCCAAGAATCCATAGACAGTTTGCGTGATAAAGTCATCATTCGTAGCTGCTGGTTCGAGCGCTTCCACTGGACTTTCGTAGACTTGAGCGACGGACGCCGCAACTGAAAAGGTACACACAAATTCGCAAAACACTTATCTGTTTTCAATCTCTTTAAGAATCAATTTAAAAAAATATAAATGCGTATAAAGTATTGTATGAGTGTAAGACATATTACATAATAAGCATATAGAAAATGAAAAACACTGAGGATTGAAAGCGTTAAAAAAATTAATTGTTTCAGCCAAGGTTAATATTAATGATATCTAATACGTAATTTACGCAGCGATTTTATCAAATTAATAAAAATTGTTAAACATGTTGAATTTTTGGACCGACAAGATTTATTATATATTTATGTCGCGATAAAAAATTTGGACGGATCCTAAGACAAATGGGATTTTTATTCAAAGCTCTACATTTGTTGGCAATGACGTCAGTTCACTCACCATGCGCTAGAGCTACGGCGAACACGAAGTATCTGGATGTCATTGCGTTCAGTCTGATCTCATCCTACGAACGCACGAATCTCCGAACCTGAAATCATAAATAAGATGACATGAAAGGAACGTAAAAAGAATCTCGCCGTGTCACATTAAATGAGAATGATGTGGCAATTCGCATAATATTGCTTTCATATTATTATTATATTTATTGTATACTACAAAATGAATTTTTCTACTATCGCGAGAGAATCAAGCGACGATTCCCAGACGATTACGCAATTATTGCAGTTGCACAGCCAGCCATCTCTTCGAAGGGATAAAAAAATATTGCGCGTTGCATCAGCCGCACAAATACGACGCGTTACGTGTTATTTTAAAAAGCAAAAAACTGTGACTTTTCTTTTCTATTAACAATGAACAGTTATGTAAAAAGCCGCCAGCGGATTCTGCTTCATTACAGATCGATCATTTCGCTTGCGCGCGCGTGCTCTTCCTTTTGCGGGAATTGCTGATTATCAATCTCCTACGCGGAGAATTATCTTCGCATTTACATAGTTACGTCTCCGTTGCTGCGGAGACAATATTTCACTAGAAATATATACGCGTGTTATACGCAGATCCGGATTTAATGATATTTGACGTGATAACGTAGTTATATCACGTACGTAGCAGAGTCTAAGAAAGTATTTCCATGGGTTTCTCACGCGCGAAGTGTTAACTTCATTCCGAGTGTCCTTCGAGTCTCATATTAACGTGACACAAATATGATAATTTTCTAGATGCGAGATTATTTTATTTAAAAAAAGTCGAGAGAGAAAGAGAAAGAAGCATTCTTGGTTGCGTAAAAAAAATATAATAGAAAATAGAAAAAAAGTATGAATAGATATTTTACAAGTTTGATTAATAGTTAATAAATAGTGTTAATAAATTTAAAAAAAATATCCTTTACTTTTTCAACTTTTATCTGATTAAATTCTAATTATGTCTTATTTGAATAAATAATGATGTGATTTCGACTTTGTTACGAGTATTGTTGTTATTCTACGACTTATATTTTCGTATTTCTCAATCTTTGAATCTTCTTGGCGTGCCAATTTCTTGATAAAACACGAAGGAGTTATTAATGCAAGACATTGACATTGTCAATCACCTATAATTTCCTATAATCGATGCCGGCGAAGAGTAAAAAGAGCGGTTTCGCGATTGCGTGAGGCAATCAAGTGTCGCAAGTAAAAATTTCCTTCTCGTCTGATCGCTATCTGGCCGAGCATGAGTATTGTGAGACATGAGCTCGCGCGGGAAACATCCTGTGTGAGGTAAATGCAATAACAGAGTTAGCACAATCGTGGCGCGGAGAACACGCCCGACAAAATCGTTATGTAACGTGAACGGGTGGGTGTTGGTAATCGTTTAGGCTGGAACAATAGCAAAAGACGTCTCCGAACTGGAGGCGCGCCTGGAATCTATAATTCCAGATCAGATCGAAACGAGACGGCCGCCCGAAAACGCAACAGCGTGCGGTTTTCTATTCCAAAGAGCGTGTCGCGTGTCGTTACAATGCGCGTCGTTACTACTGCTAAACTTTGTTCACGGTGTCTCGAAATCATCGATCATCTCTTTAATCGTAGCTTTCTCGATTAAAGATGATTTCTATTCAGCGAAGATGTTGAAGAATATAATTTGTCGTATTTTTCAAACTTTTAATACTTTTTATATATCTCTGTAATTAAGCATTAAATCGAAATTCTATTAAGTTTACTAAAAAATCATTAAAAAACATAATTGTGTTGTTGAATTTAATTCTTAATTATTTTATTCATTTATAACTTATATATATTTCTTATATGAAAATTTAATTCTACTTTTGCTGCTTATATAAATCGTAAAACGTGCAACATTCCGTCGAAAATTCGTTCGACATGCCGAGATTCAGAGTCAAACGATTTTGCCGGAGATGCAGAATCGTAATCGAGGAACCAGAGTATCGAGACAGCAGCACACGGTATCGCGGAATCCAAGCTCGCTCCTTTCACCCGTATATTCTCTCACGATCGTACCGCGGCTGATCTCAGCGGGTCGTATAATGGCTTCGCGAGTTCTAACTGAAACTGGAAAGCATCAGCGCAACACTTCCATCCTGCTAATGATAGGATGCGCGACAAGTTATTGCGAGGCACATATGGGTGAGAGAGTTCGCCGATTATTGCAGCGTGTCAATTGGCAAAGCGATCTTTTGCTACGAGATCAACCGATATCAACTCAACCGTCATTCGTGATGGCATTTGTGTTCCGTGTAATTTCTACTGTCTCTTTCGAAATTTGATAACGATGAATTTAGCACAGTTTCATCTTATATCTTTAATACATAATTTGTTTACGTATTTAATTTGAATGATAGATTTTTAGAAGCGATTAGTAATAATGTTAATACTACTTTTCCACTAAAAATGATGTGAATACAGAAATAATTGTGAGATTTGGAAATGCATGTAAAGTAGGAATTAAAATAACAAAGGCCGAGACAAAGCAGCCGAAAATAATTATTGCGGAAAATCAAGGTGTACGAGATAATGATGATAAGTCATTCTACGACTTGGCGAAGGTAAAAAGGAGTGGCCCTACAACTCTCTTACTCTCTTCTATTATCGTATATGCACGCACACGTGCGCGGAATGTAATGACCTGAAAAAAAATGCTATGCCGCAACACGCATAAATCTCGGTCGAGCATTCGAGTGAACCTTTTCCCGCGCGCGCGATTCTTTTTTGCGATCGACATGTGTTTTCTTGCGGAAAGAAACGGTATACGCGCAGGAAACTCATTCTTTGAATGTGTGTCTAAAAATAATTCTGCAAAGTAAATTTTTGCTGTAATTATTCCAGCAACAAGATCGTGCGATATTCTGTGACTCACTTTAACTCACAATTCATCCATTATAAATTAACTTAAAAAAATTATATATATTAAATGTAAGAAATAAACTGTGCAAAACAGGTTTAAAACGAGAGATTAAGAATCCTTGTAATTAGAGAACGTCGTCGAGAATAATGCATCGTAAAAATGAAATTATTGCGAAATTTATTTTAACAAAAATTCACGACTGCGCCGGTCGGAATGGCGCGTTAGATGAATTTATTACGTCCATGAACATAAGTTTTCGTGGTCAAGTGTAATGATCGGTGCGAGGGTCCGCTTCGAAATATGTTAAAAACCGGTCATCAACGGCGAGAACGGTATTCCCGGTCGATCTCTCAAGATCATGGCCAGCCCGAGACCCTCAAGACCATCGTTCGGACCCCCGAGAATAACCGCCCATGCATTTCTACAGTTGCATTTTCGGACGAATATCAATTTTCCTTGCGTGGACTAAAACTATAGTCGATACGTTTAAAGTCGAATTCGCTTTTAATATAATCTTTATTACTTGAGCGTTTGCCAAGAAGGGATGAATTCGCTTTTAATAAAAAATACAGAAAAATTTATTTGCTTAATCGCTTTTTTTCGGCAAGTTATCAGTAATTGATTGTCGGCAATTTTTAAACGTAATCTATAAACAATGAGTTATAAATATTTGAGATAAATAAAAATTTGGCGCCAAATCGCGCAATATTATGAAGAATTTTACATTCCGTAAACTCTTCGAAATGGAAATTCTTCGCTGTCGACATATCACTTTTGCCGATTTGTCGCGATGGTATTCGCTTCGCTTTCGAATCACTTCTCGTTTCTCACTCGGTTGACACGTGCTAACAAGTTTTCGTACCATCATTTCTCCTCTTTCAGAAATTCGCGGTGTCATTAAATGATCATTCCGAAAGCGGAATGAGAGAGAATCTGAGTTCGAAAACCCAGTTAATCAGATGCAGCTGTTTAGCGTAAAAAATAGTGTTGAAAAGTATTAACATATTCGCGTCTTCGGATACAGAATGGATTCCGTCAACACCATGCGTGATTATATTTGCATATTTGCTTGAACCGTCGTAGTGGCCATGAACCTCGCCAACGCGTGGTGTAATAATGAGATTTGGAGATTTTCTGTTAAATTGTTGTATTTTAAAGACAAGAGAAATATATGTTAAAATCACCGTACATAAAATCAGAAATTGTCTATTCTGTTTCTCCGCAATAAAGATTAATTAAAGCAAAAAGAGACAATTAAAATTTACGGCCGGGATATTCTCGTGTCTTTGTGAGAGAGACATTTTCAATGACAATTAAATCCACGTGGACGACATTTCCGACGCAAATTTACGCACGTCTGACGCAAGCACGGCGCAATCTACTTGCGTATACGCGTTTTCTAAGCGAAATAATTCTAAACAAGCTTAGTTATAATCTCGCGGTCGGACAAACTCTGAGAATCCTTGGGAAAGTATTTTCCCATGCATACGACGCGTCGTCTTCTTTTCCTTCCATCGCACTGGAGCTGCAAAAGGTTAACTAGCGAGAATTCTCGCGTTGTTTCACCGAACAGCTGGCGAGATATTGTTGCTCCTTTTTCCCAAGAACAAACGCCGCCGGTGTTTATTCTAGTCATTATTTTCTTCAATTACCGAGAGCTTACTTGCATAATCGTAACGTTTCCGCGTTATTTAGCCAAAAGAATGAATTTTCCTTTAAAATCGACACAGCTACGCCGATTCGCCAACTCGAGTTAAGTCATTTTGTTTGCTGGAATGTAGTTGCAATTAAACGAAGACAGGATTTCATTATCCATCCGCGTTTTCAAGTCCTGATATATAGTGAACATTGACCCTAACTTCCTCGCTTTCTGGCAGGATCATGGCCGTTCGTGAAGTTTCATTGGTTTTGCCGCGGCGATTTTTCACTTTCCCGAGGACGGCTGTTTTTAATTGGACATCCTGCATCGCACGACCTTTCGACTGGTTTCAGCCGAGAGATAAAGGAATCCGGGACTCTTTCCGATGATCTATAATCTTTCCCCGAGGCAGCTAATTCATCGCCTGTTAATTTATTTCCCATAATCCGCCCCTTGCTTTAAGATAAAAGTTCGATGAGCATTCTTGCAGCCGAGTACTTCGAATTACTGTCCCGATAGAATTATTATACAGTTGATAAAAATATTTTAAAAATGATTATATTAAACGCCAGCAAATTAAAAAGTACAGCCTATTCTGAAAAATATAGCACAATTAAATTGTTATTGTTACTCGAAATAAGGAGACATTAAAATTTGCGATAGAGTAATAGTGCTGTCGCAAATTTTAATATTTTCTTGCTTCTAACGATTGTCCAATCAGTCGACATCCGCTTTGGAAATTGCCGAGTTTACCGCAAAACCACGTCGGATTTGATTCCGTCATTAAACTAGCGCGTTTGCGAAATCTACAAGGATCGCTCGCAATCGCTCACAGACGCGAGAAGGCGAATGCGAGAGTCCGACGACTATGTTGGTTTTATGTTGACTCCCTCGTGTGCATCGGAGTTGCAAAACGGGGACAAGTTTATTTTCGCGGATGACAAAGTGTTTAAACGCATTATGCGAATTCTTGGCACGCGATTTTACGCATCGACTTCGATTATTTATTTATTATTTGGCGACCAAAGAAATACCACGAGTTATCTTTATGACCATTTTACTTGTTATGAGAAGATAAAATGATAATTTTTAACCAATTTTGTTATTGAAAACAATAATATTCAAATTAAAATTTGGTTTACTAAAATTTATATAAAATTAATTCAAGAATATAGTTTTGTTTTTTATTTGCATCCATAAAATTAGTTCACTAGCGGAAAATCCTCATATCGTTCGATAAAAATTGAAAAATGGCTAAATAAGAAACGTAATAAAATCGAATACGATTTAGTAACAGTTCTATAAATTTTTCTGTTCATAGCAAACAACGTTGCTGGTTATTTCTTAATTGCTTCCTGATCGCGCAGCGCTCAACCAATCGACCTAGATTCCTTTTTTCTCGCCGCGTGTCTGAAGCGGATTCGCGATAAAACCGTAGATAAGAAAGATGGCAAGTCGGAAGCGGAAGCTGGCGATTTCACTCGGAAGAGCTCTCGACGCGTTCCACGGAGTTTATTTTACTTTCCAGCAGCGTAAGTGTATACGTAACACATACACACATATAAACGCACTTATACACACTCCTGTTCCCGCGAGATTTTCGCGCTGAAAATACTCGTCACAGTTCGCTAATTGCACTTGTTCCAATAATTAACCGAGTTTCGTTTGAAATAAAAAATCATTACAAATCCACGAATGTGGATTACACATAAAAATTATAAATTATTTTTCAAAACTTTAGAGTTTTATTGCAAGTATAATTGCAAAATTGGAGACTATAAAAAGGCATGGAATATAATTTGACATAAAACAAGATTATAAATTGCGTTTCACTTAAAAGTGAGGAAGATTACAGATTATACATTCGCGTGTAAAGAAGTATTAGCATGAAACATTATATTGATTTCTAAAAGAAGTATTGCATGACTTCCGACTAACGAGCTATTATTTATGAATAAGACAAGTGGCAATCGAATCCAATTATTGCATTTATCCATTCCGATCGTGAAAAAAATTTCGCGCAACTTTCAGGGTCAACGAAATTGCGAAAGTCTCTCCGGTCTATAATCACTTTGTGTCAATCACACGGTGCATTATCACGGTTACACTGAATCGGGACTGCGACAAGGATATATCGAGGTATGCGCAAACGAGAGCGGTGAATGTGCTCTCGCACACACGCTGGCACGCGTGGACCACATTAAAATCACGAGCGACAAGCGGGTGCACGTGTCGGCGATCAGAAGTGTCCGCGCAAACCGGGTCTCGTCGCACGTGACCGGGGACCTCGCTTAGAAAGCAAGCTTAGATCTCTCAGGAATGTTCATTTAGCAATCGTTCTCCTCGCTTCGGCCCCGAATGGAAACGCTGCCGCGATCGAACAAGCGCGAGCCGAACGAAGTCGAGAACAACTTCTGGCCGGAGTTTGAACAACTTTTTCGTAATGCATCGAGAATTGTGATTATCGACAAATTGCGTCTAATAAATTTTAATCTTTTGAAATCGTGATATTTTAATAAGAAAAATTGGATATTATTTGTTAAAAGCAAGAATCAAGAGCAAGTAGTATGTGCATATGATAGGACCGTCTTAAATTATTATTATAAATAAATCGCGTGAAAATAATTTATCGCTACTTGTCATATTTGGAAATTGTAAATGATGATGCAATTGTAAGTTGTTTACGCTGTTTATGGTAATGACAGCGGAAAATAATATGCGAAATAATAATTTAATATATAAATATTAAATATTTAATGATTCAATTATTGTATAATTTGAATGAAATTTTTATATCAGATTCAAGCGAAAGTTGTTTTAAATATGCTAACAGAAATATAGTAACTCTCGCTTTTTTAAGCATATATTAAGTGTACCGAGCACGTAATGTAACGCAATGTAAGCGATATCCCAATTACATCAAAGCACAAGAGCCGGCGCAAGGATGCCGTAGGGAACGTATAGACGGTACAAACAGTTATACACTTTCACTTGAATCTCGTTCAGTTTTACGGCTAAGATATACAGGGTGTCCATGATCTTCTCTCGAGATCAGATCTCGATGATAATCGCGAAAAATTATTAATATATTTCTATTATACTTATAGCAAAAAAAATTATCAATTAATCAATAAGGAATAATTTTTTGCGATCATTCAAAGTGAGCGTCTTTGATAATTTTTTATCTTTAAGGATGACTATTGACAGCAAAAATTCTTTTCGTTTGATTATTCAACACTCGCTACATTTTTATTAAAGAAATCGATAAACAATAAATTTTGATTTAATCAATGTGCATAACATTATTAAAAAAAATACCGAAGAAATATCATAATTAAATCCTAGTCTCAGATTATAAAATATAAGTTTTTTTCAATCAAGGCGATTAGTTAATTCGTCTCGAGTCTCGATTAAAGGTTGAAAGTAAATCGCGTTCAAAATTTCGCTTCAAGTACTTTTGTTGTTGCTAGCACAAGCTTATTCATCTTTATGCATATCGCGTCGGATGCAACTGAATTCCCAAGCCTATCGTGAGACGAGAATGACATTCACTCGTCTATTTACGGTGCTCGGCCGTTCATAAATAATTATCGAAATAATAATGAACAGAAAAAATTAATCTTACGATCAAAAAAGTTAGATATGAATTTTTTTCTTTGAATTTTTGGAAAAATGGGTTAAACCAGTAACGGTCTCACCAGTAATTTTTTTTAGTGTCGAAAGTTTATGAAAGAGCAAGAAGAAATTTAATCTGATATATTTCCAGTCTCTGACTGGATTAAGATGGAAAATTTCGTCGCATCATCTCTCTTCCTATAAATTAAGCGCAGATACGGATGAATACTCTCTCGCGAAGTCGCGCTTTCTCTCGTATTCAGTCTATATGAAAGTGACACAATTCTTTATTCATCGGTCGCTTTAATCATCGCACGTTTGTTTATTCTCGTATAATTTCTCATGTTGAATGAAATGTGCGATAATAGTAAAATATAATAACTATTTAAAGATCATTATAATTTGCGTAATCCAATCAAATCTCCTAAATTTATATTATCACAGATTATAAATAAAAAGCACATATTATGTTATTGTATGGAATCGTCTATTATTTAATTAATAATTTTAAACTATTGAGTAGTTTATTATATATGTCTGACATGACACTGATTTAAATCACTGAAATTTTCTCTCATCATATACTTGCTTGTGTGATATAAATGCTTTCAATTTCTATTTTTTTTTTGAATGATAGAAAAAAAATCATATTATTTTACCGCCATTTCTGATATTAATCTTGTGTTGATAATAAAAAAGTAAAAATTTTCATAATAAGTTGTCGACATCATAATCTTTACGGCATGAGAGTCTTTTCTCTCAATAAAATTTAATTAACTTTCACATAAAATTATATAATTTACGTTATTAAAAAATAAAATACTTTAATGAGTAAGATATAAAAGTATGATACGTGCATCGTTAATTCTTTAATTCTATCAAACGTAGAATATAAATTTTTTTAAATAATCTCCCAAATTAATTTCTACACTAAACTTTTGCCACAATGTTGATTTTATAAACATGAATCATTTTATAAACCAAATTGACTGAAATACAACTCTATCTTATTGGATTGACCCAATAGACGAAGAACGAAGGGAGAATTGTTTAAAATGTCACTTAACCTCATTAACTTTTAAAATTCAAAATATATATTTTATAAGGTAAAAAAATTGCCGCACTTATATTGTCACGTAACGCAGAATTAATAAAGATAACGCGGAGAAATATCTATTGGTTGTCAATGTCAAATTGGCAAATCTACTTACCGGATCGCGAGGAACGTTATCCCGGGCTCGATTTAAGGATGCTCAACACGTTGACAACTCGCGGTGCACAGTACTCGACATGCCAACTCCCAGCTCGCCTCGGACTGACTGCATGGGTCCTGGGTCCGTGTTGCAGGCCCTCGCACGATCCGCTCCACGATCGGGGCTTGCTTTCACTTTGCGAGTACCGCAAGCGGTACCGCCGCACAAATCGTCGATAGGTGATAAAGACACCGATTCGAATCGACTTATTGTTAGTGCGCGCCACTACTCGCGCGCAATCTCATGTGTCACATATACTTATGTGCATATATATAATTTATTATTCAGTATGTGAAACCCGTTTCAAATAGATTATGGATTAGAATTGAGGAGTAATCCTCAAAATTAGAATTATACCTATATTATATAATACATATTAACTAATTATAATACATATTAATTTGATAAATTATTATTTCTTTAATAAAAAGTTATAGATATGTACAAATGTAATGTAGTAAAAATATATATAGGAAATAACGGAGCAAGATGGTTGTAAAAAGATTTTTAGAATGACTTGTATATAAATAATTACGAAATCCTTCAAAATGAATCGTCCTCGTCCTCTTCTTCAATGGGCACGTCTTCTCGGTGCTGTTTAGGATTCCATCGGCGCCAAAGTAACTCTCTCACTGTAAATTCGGAAAGTATTTCGGGACTAGTTTTGCTAACATTCCGAGACACCGATGATGGCCATAAAACTTGCGCAAAGAGTATTTCCTGTTTGCAAACAGCATTCATTTGATTAGAATTCTAATAAATATCTAACTTTTAAAAGAAATTTAAATATTAATAAATTATATTAGAATATATATTTCTATAATGTTGTAATTACTTTTGTCACATATTTTACATAAAAATTCTTTTCTTTTATTTTAATATATGAATATAAATATCAATCTCAATGTAGAATTATATTTTGCAGCAAATCTGAAAGTATGTAAGTGATTGCATTTATTATATTTCATAAATAGATGCTTACTTTAGCGGCAGTTTCGGAAAGCCTTTCCAGACTAAATAAATCGTTCCACATCATGGATCGCGTGGACATGGTAGTATCTATAACCAACGAGTCTGCATCTACTACTTCAACTATGACAATGTAAGAAGCGTGATAGAAAGGTGGTCCCTCTTTGTATAACACTGAAACATTACAGATATTTCGAATAATAGCAATATATTCTATAAACTTTTTAAACTATTTAATAGCATATGTTAAAGAGAAAATAAAGACTACTAACGAAAATCACCGCCGTATTTGAGGCCGGGCTTTACCACCCATCCTTTACTCTTATAATAATGGTATACTACGTATTTTTGTAAAAAGTCTGGCTTGTTCTTGCAAAAGTGCAACCACGCGTTACTGATGTCCATGAAAGTGCCGTTAAAGTGAACTAACTGTAGACAACCCAATCCAAAGAAGAGGAAAAACGTCTCTTCAAAAGTGAGATGCAGAGCCTCTCGGATAGGGAAACCCTCGTTCTCGATTCTCGGCTTTATATCCTTTAGATAGTTTTCTGTGTCTGAATCGCTGTCTGGCAAAACCAATAGTTTTCCATGCTGATCATCATCCACGCAATTATTCTTGAAATCGGAATAATCTAAATCGCAAAGTTCTTCGACTTCCTTCTTTTCTGTGCACTTGGTATTATCATCATTAGTTATTGAGAAATTTTTATCACATTTCTCAGAATCTTTACTAACAATGACAGATATATCATCCTCATCTGCGGAGTCTAAGGTGACTTCGTCGATTTCTACATCCTTTGCGGCTACTTCATTCCTTTCCTTACTTTCACTGAAATTTGGTGGAATCTCAACGACGTCACCATTGTTCTCTTCTTCATTATCTGAAGTATTTTCCCTTCCGTGTTGATAACTTGTTTTAACGTCTGTAATTATATCATTTTTTTACTGCATTTTACTTTTTTCTTATTATAAAATTACATTTCTTATCATTATAATGACATAAAAATATTTATATCTTAAAAATCAACAAATATTTTTTATTTTGCACCTTCGTAATCAGAAGTAGAGGCAGAATTCAAGTCTTTTACTTCATCCAACCATTCTTGTCTGCGAAGCCACTGCCTGTTCCGAACAACTGGAGGCACTCCATACCTCATTTTACCAAAGGAAGGATAACTACGTGACAATGAGCCCTTGCCAAAAAAACCCTACAAACAAAATACTTATTCTTTATGCAAAAAATTATTTTCAGTAAATTTGCGCTTACCATAGAATGTACTGCATCCATTTCTTCAGGTTCAATTATGCAAGAACCCATATCTGTGAGATGAGCTGTATATACTGGCCATTCCTGAGTTTCGTTTAATGGAATAGGAAACGGTGGTTGTAGTTTAAATTTCGATCTTCTCTTCTTCTTTGGTTCTTGTAAATTCATGTTTTAACTGTATGAGTAAAAATATACAATTTTAGGATTGTTACAATATTTAAATATATTGTACAGTATTTAGAATGTTAGATAAATCTGTAATAAATATGTTAGTATACAGATTTGAAAATCTGAAATTTACAACCAAAAATTTAAAACAATTCAAAATACAATAAAATTAAATATATAATTTAGATAGGTAGCATACGTAGTGTAAGAAATAAAAGCACTTTATTTATATATACTTAGAAGAAAGAACAAGCGAAAATTACACAAGTATACATAATTCAAGTACTAGAAAACTGATAATAATTTTTCTCTTTATATATTTTTGAAAATTTACTTTCTATAGCAAAAGCACATAGTAACAAATATTTAACCTATAAAGACAACAACCAAGACTTCTTTGTAGATTTTCTATAGAAATTTTACATTTTGTGTAGACAAAACAATATATTTCTAAATAAATGTTAAACTTAAAAAATTATTTATTATTAATATTAGAGAATACTTACTTTTTTAAATGACAGCTGATAACCCTGTGTTCAATTACGTAGTTAGGTTAGGTTTGGTTAGATTGGATTGGATTAGGTTAGGCTAGACACTAAAATTAAATTAGGCAATACATTTTACCAGTACTTTTTTTCATATAAAAGATGTTTTATTTAGCTACTTATACTTAATTATTTAATAGTAAGCAAATAATATAAAAACAATACATGTCAAATATAATTTTTTCTACATTTTATATCTGTAGAAAAGACCTAAGATACTCTGAAACTCTCTTTCTTCTTTGATCACAAACATAATCTATCCTTTTAACTTAAAACTATATACCCTTATATAAAAAAAGAATCATATTGCATCATATATTATATTGTTAATAAGTGCTTCTGTGGTTTCAATCATCCACTGAATTAAAAAATTTTGCATAATGATTCTAATGGCGTTTTATAAGACTAAAGGAAAAAATTCAAAAATTAGATTTAAAACTTGCTTTTCTCAAGTTCTTAAAAAAGTAGATTAAATTTTTCCCAAACAACACAAATACAAAGAATTAAACGCGTAATACATGTAAAAAAAATATTTTAAGCAGTCTTTAGATGTAAAAAGTGTACCTAAATTTTCCAAACACCTTTTAACATTTTTTACACTGCTTAATTTGCCGCAATTTTTAGCATTTCTGCCACATCGACTATTTTCTCCCGCGGTTTCTTCATTTGCTGGCCACGTTCTTGTTCAACGCGATCAATTTTCTCCCAGTCTTTATAAGATACAATCTGGATACCTTTGCAGTCTAAAATTTTGCGTAGACCGTCTGAGCCAGTTTTATTCTCACTTAAGGATGTCAATTCCTTGCAAATCAAATTGCCGACTTGGAAAGCGTTCGTCATAGTCGACAAGATGACGCCGACTGGTCCAGTAGCCGCCCATCCGGCGCTGTAGAGATTGTTGTCGACCTTACCGGAAACATTCTTTACGCGTCCCTTCTTCGCGTCAAACGGAATCGTGTCGTCTATTTGAACAGACTTGTAACCAATGCTACGTAGAGCCAAACCACACGAAATTACCTCAATTTCGTCGGTTGCCTCGGCCACTTGATTTTGAATATTATCTCCTCGTAGATGATTCACAGTGAATCTGATACTTTCCAACTCATTAGCGCCGTGGAATTCTATTGGACCCCGCAAGAAGATCGGATGGAATTCTTTAGCATGAGTTGAGTCGTTCGCAGATTCATCTAAAGACTTCAACATGAGCTCCGTCAATCGTTTCCGGGGCCTGGCTAACGTTAGCACAATTTCTCGCACGCCCGCGAAATCCTGCACTCGCCAAAGAGTTTTGCAGCTATCCAATTTAATCAGCTCACGTAGTTCTGCGGTCGTAAACGCAGCTTGAAGAGGTCCTCTCCGTCCGACCATGGAAACTCTTTGCACTCTACTACGAGATAATCGTTCCAAGGCAAACGATGTGATATCAGTGTTCTGAAATAATCAAGACAGATTAGAGATGATTCAAAGTTAACCAAATTTTGCAATAAAATTGAACAAATTTTTCAAAAATTATATAATTTAATGTTAAACTCTATTGAATACTATTTTAATTTGTAATTACTTATACGATTTTCAAGCTATAATAAATTATGCTAGTCAGGAATAAAGATCACCTTCAATTTGTCAATTGGTGTCAAAAGAATTCTCGCGATATCCATGGCTACATTGCCTTGTCCTAAAACGACCGCTTCTTCCACATCTAAATTAATATCTAGATCTTTATCACTTGGTACTCCATTGTACCAGCCAACGAAACGTCGACCTGATATCACATTGTTCAAGTGTTCACCCGGTATATCGAGCAGTCGATCTTGTTGAGCGCCATAAGTCTAGAAAATAAAGAAATCATTATTAATTAATTATATCAAATATAAATTTATTTCATATAGATAAAATTATGAATTCATGCATGGAAATATTAATACAGTTAGTTAAGCAAGAATGCAGTTGGGTTTTAAATAATAGACACATACCAACAATACAGCGTGATAAAACTGCTGTAGCTGATCGACGGTAACGTCTGTTCCAATGTTAACATTGCCTAGAAATTGAACGCGTGAGTTGGTCGCGGTTTTGTGGAATGTATTAATGACGTTCTTTACTTCTGGATGATCTGGAGCAACCCCAAAGCGCACTAGGCCAAAGGGAACCGGTAGTTTCTCTAATATGTCGACCCTTACGTCGCTTGAACTCTGTGATAATTAATTGTATTTTTTTTTTGTTTTCCTGCTCAGCTAAATATTTAGACTATAATCTAAACAATTCTTTCTTTTTTTTTTAATGTAAAATATTTATAAAGGTAATTATTTAACAGTTAATTTCACATATAAACTGCTTCATATTTTAACATATTTTTGTCAAAGAAAATAAAAAAACCAATGTTGCTGTTAATTATAACAATGAATTTATACAAAATAAATATTACCTTCAGCAATTGCTGAGCCGCGTAAAAGCCTGCCGGACCCGCACCTACAATGCATACCTTCGGTATGCGCTGTTCGGTGGATAAAAGGCGAATGGAACTCCTGATCAAATTGCGTTTCATCTCCATGTACGGCAATGATCTAAAACGTGGCACTGAGTTTAACACAGTCGTAATAGTCGCTTTAAAAAGAGTTCGCCGAGGCCTCTCACAACGCCGTTTTCTAATTCGTGTGAATAAAAAAACTTCTTTGTGTGGAATAAAATCTTAGTCACCGTTCCATGCATTAAACATTGATTCTAAATTTCATCCAAGTAAAAGTTATCCCAGTTGTTCGTGATCACAAAAAACAAACGCAACCCACAAGTACCTTGATCTGGAATTATTTATTGGCTCATGTTATTCGTTCGATTAATAATTGTGGAAAATTGTAAGAAACTAAATACTAAATAAAAACAGTAAAGACATTATAATTTAGATAGAAATTGTTCTTCATTTTAATTTAAAAAAATGAATGAAAAACTTAAAATAATTTATATAAAAATAGAGATAAAAATATATTTCATTTTCGGAATAAAAAAAGAAACATTTCCTTATTTTTAATCTTTGATAATTATAACATGAAAAACATAATTACCATTTCTCTTTTGTGTCCTTCTTCCGTAATGTTTCCCATTTATGACATCCCATTGTATATGTTATTAGTATATTAAAGCTTAAATATTATTCGTATTATCAATAGTAGAATTGTTAAGTATATTTACATTTGTACAATGTTAGGCGTTATATTAGGTTGTTCGATAAGTAATGTCGTATTTCTCTTATTTTATATTAGTGTTCTAACATGTTTATATCATACATATTAGTTATAATTCTTCAGTTCGATGCAGATGTATTTCTTTTATCGTCTTAAGCGAAATTTAAGAAAATATTATTTAGTGTTATTGTTATATCTGACAAAAAGCACATTAGTATTGTCTAATATATGAAATGCGAACATTCTCTGTTGTTTCTTTATGTACTTCCGATAATTCAAGCCATGGATGATTTTTTTTCTGCCATGCTCGGAAGATCTCTTATGCTACAAAACATGGTTCCTTGTCTGGATGATAGGTCAAAAATTTATCGAACAATTCGTGTTGCAATGCTGCTTTCTCATTTGTAGTATATGGCAACAATACATCTTCATGAGCAACATAATCTAATCCTGGAATAGCGTACAAACTACGACTGCTCTCATGATTGCCTAAAAAAGTTACCGCTTCTGTGTTTGAGCACGCTAAATATATAAAAGTATTATATACATATAATGCAAGATAAAAATTATAATTTTTTGCTTCTTACTATAAAAGGTTACTATTAAACTTACAGTAATCTAACCGTTATTGTGTTATATACTCACACAGAATTAAAATTAATTAATTAAATTTAATAGAATAAGCAATGACATAAATGTTCCTCGTTCTTATTATATAACAATAACACTAAATAATATTTTCTTAAATTTCGCTTAAGACGATAAAAGATCACGTTAATTATTCATCTATTCAATAGTTTCTGAATACTTAAAAACACGACATTACTTATTAATCGACTGACCTAAACATCGTGCTTATACACAACGCCCTCATTATCTATGCTTTTATGTTCGTCGCTGTCTTCTTTATTTTGTGTCAAAAATTTGTAAGAAACGTGGCCTGTGTACAGTTTGATCATCAGATGATTAAGTTGCATTATCATGGGAACCTGGTCACATTCTGGAAAGAAATTACGTTGTCAAATAGCGATAGTATAGTAACAGATGCATTTGATGTAAGTATTCTTTGTTAAAACCAAACAAATTTTTCATTAAAATAAATTTAATGAAGAAATACAATTAAATGTTGAATTTAAATTTATTATAGATATTTCTATAAAAAAATTATTATTATACAGCAAACTCTGTTAGGGAAAAAAATGATAAATTTTTAATAGAAAATATTACTCTGTTCACAACTGTATACAAATGCGTCTATTATTGAGTTATTAAGTTGCATACAATTCATCAAAATTGATAAAATTTTTATCCTCTTATTTAGATATCTGGAAATCTTACCATATAAATTTGTTATAGGCATTATCGACCAGATTGCCATATTCTTTTCGCGTGCTTGATGTGACGCGGTGAGAATCTCATACAAATGATTCAATACTTTTTCATTGTGCTGATATGCTTTCAATTCGATGTAATAGCCTCTGTAATGTTGAATCTCTATAGTAGTCACATTAAAGGTATTTTCCAGAAGACATAAAAGAGCGATGTTAAACTGCGTTAATAAAGAGTAGCCAATAAGAATGAGCGTCTGTCCGATTTCGAGCTTCTCCAATCGATCGCAAATTTCGACAATCATTCGATGACTATCGCAATTGAATTCCAAATTCAGGATCTCGTGTCTGACACTCATTTGTCGCGCAACCTCTGTCGTAATTTCTGCAGGTGAAAAGCAGGCGGCAAGATGCATATGCTGCATTATGTCATCAATTCCGTTTAACATTTGCAAAATTTTCACATTGCAAAAGTACGAGCTGCGTACTTTGTTAAATGGTTTTCCTATCTGTATCTCTAAACTTTCTGGCAATATTTGCAGATTCCACTAAAAAAAAATATATATTATAAGTATACCCTTTTTTCAAACGCAATAAATAAAAACTTTATAAAAGATAAAAATTTTTTATTAATAAATTATATGATATGCATTTTTTCTTTTTTTGTTTTTTAATTTAATAAAGATCTGTAATCTGGCAAATACAATTTGAAAAATTTGCTTACGTTGTAAGAATCTGTTATTGGTAACTTGATCTCTTTCGCGTCTTTGAAATAACGATATAAAAGTGTTTGTGGTTTAACGTCACACGTCAAACGCTCGTTGTAAGAATCAACCTTTTTGAGATGAATCGAATGCAATTCATTTCTAAAGCAATTATTAATCTCCATTATCTTCCGGCCAACTATCTGATCTCTAGATTTTATTTTTTTCAATTTATAACGGTTGATATAATACGCAGAGAGTTCTTTACGTTTACATTCCTGCTGTAGATGGTCGTACATGGGTAGTTTTTTTTCATACGTTTTTATATTGTAGTTTATGACTTGGCACTGATGGCGATTGAAGAATTTATTGCAATCCTCAATTTTCTGTAAAAATCTGCGTGGAATATCCCGCAAATTGAACATTGCTTTCGCAGGCGATACTTTGCCGTAGTGTTGCCTGAGAATATTTAAGTACGGAGCGATGTAACTTCTATCCTTAAAACTCTTGCAGACAACATATCTCTCCGAATTTCCTGCTTTGCTAGACATTGGTTTCGTTACGATAACTTGATCGAAGACGCAAGCCAGTAGATACATTAAACATACGGATTGATGCTCGAACAAGGTGAAGACTTTCAATATAAAGGTGCCGCCTTGGTTCAAGAGATGCAAGCAAGCCACCGTCTCGCAGAAGTGCAACTGCGCCACAGTGCTCTCCTGTTCTGCCGGCACATTTGTACAATCTATACTGCCGTCTGCAGTGATCAGCCTGATTGATTTCTCTGAGAAGGATTTGGATCTTTCCACTAGAGCATCCAGATTTTCCAGGTCCATAATATCGCCCGTGTTGTTCGCGCCAAAACACCACTGTTTCAAAGTATGCCTAATTAATCTATCGTCCGCGATCATTGTGTCATACGAATTTCCCTCGTAATAAGGATTCAAGGTGGTAGCCAGCCAATCCCATTGCACACTGGGTTTGTTTGTTTTGAACCAATGGTTTAGAGCAGCCACAAAGGCACCTGGTGCTTCACACAGATGCACGGAAGTGAAACTTTTCATAGGTATGTTGAATTCTACTTCGAAATTCGTATTATTTCGCATTAAATCAAGGAAAGATATCAAAGAGTCATTTTTTACGTTAAACATAGGAACAGTGCTCGTTTTGTAGACCAAACCACGAAAGACATAATTTTTAGAAATAATTTCGTAAAATTTACACCAGGCTTGAGTCACGAGTTCTGCCTTTATATTTTTTTTTACAAAGTTGACGATATCACTCGCCTCATTCATTTGACTTGTGTGCTGATTCCATTCCAGTAGACTGTAGTTGTTTAAGCGACTTTTCACTTCATTAAGATTGTTTTTCAGCCTTTGCAGATTGTCCAATTGCCATGGCGATTCCTTAAACATGGATTCTGGATGAGGTAAATTGTACGTCTGTGCATCGACCATTACATCCGAGATTGAGAAATCCTTTTCAATAAATGAATCTGTGTTATCCATTTTAATGTATCTTAATAAATTTTGTCAATTTTTTATCTTGTAATAGCTCCTCTTGCTTTTCAGTGGGATCACTTTTCTTCTCTTGCGTTATTGTATTATAATTAGTAAGTACATTTATATGCAAAAGAATTCATAAATAGTATATGAACAGAAAGTATTTTTATATGTAATTCTATGTATTCTTCTTTTCTTGTTTTATCTCCTTTGTCTCTTGGAAGTTACAAAGTCCTCAGAATTACATCATATATCTGTTACTGTGAAGAATATATTTCTAAGATATCTAATATTTCTAAGATAAGAAAGATAAGAAAGATGTTTTACTAAGTAAAATATTTAATCTGTAAAGGGCATAATACTTATATAAAATTTTTATATGCTCAAATAAATTTACATAAAATATATACAGTAAAATTATATACAAAAGCAGATAAGATTTTTAGTTGAAATCAATTAGAGGATTAAAAAGCCTCTTACTCAAAATTTAAATTACATTATTTCTACATAAATAATTTACATAAATTTTACATAATTTTTTATTCCCCCCCCCCCAAAAGCAGCTTTGATTAATTCATTTTATTTATCTCTAAAATCTATTTTATTTACATTTTCTACATTCTGCAACTTTCTCCTGTTTACCCTCTTTAATCAATATATTTATTTTAAATGCAAAAAATGCAAATTCTTGTGTTTGCGTTTAGAAAAATTAATCTATGTAAAGAAAATAAAGTTAAAAATGATAGATTTAACAAAACTAAATTTTCATCAAAATTATCAGAAAAACCTGTTGCTTAAACTGATATTTCATTTTGAGGTTAATTTCACGAAGTGGATACGGACGTTGTCTCGGCTGGCGATTAAAAAATGTAATAGGACTCACCTTTTCAGGAAAGCTCTCGTTGTCATGTAGCTCGGTCGTACAAAATATTTTTCTTTTACTATTACAGATAAGTTTGGATAAATTTATTGTGCCGATTATCGTCACAAATGCATACGATACATGTGGCACATGCTGCACGGAATAATGCCTATTAATGATAATTATAAGATCTGTGCTTGTAACTGATCTTCTCGTACTTTTTTCTTTCTTTAATTAATAATACTTATATTTATGTATGTTCTATCTGTTTCGTTTAACTCCCACAAAGCTTACCTCAATTTATCTCGTTTTTAACCGAGTTTCTGAGCAGAAGATGTAATAAGCGTATGCTATAAACACAGCATGAAACAGTCTTTATATGTTCTGGAAACAAATATGCCGTTAGACGAAGTCTCTAGAAGAACATTTTCCTATTGGATATTGGCAATGAACATCAGAAGCATGTGAATCTACCATTAGGAATTCTGCTCATAGAGTTGGTAACACTGTTATGTAACGAAAATAGATAAATGACCTATTGTTTGTTACGCATTAGCCCGCGCAAATGGAAGGCTAGTATCGTACGAAAACATATATTACTTTTGAGTGTTGCTGCGTTTTAACAATAAGTATAGGAAAGACTAGAGATAAGTATAAGAAAGACAAGAGAAATAATTCTTTTACATGTGCAGCCGGCTCACGGAAATTCGGCGTTGCTGGTAGTACAATGCGTCGCAGGCTACTCTCTCACTATATAATTTGAAATATTTTTTTAATTACATAAAATTATCATGTTTTATGATCTATTTGTGAAGAATATGTATATATTTTTGCTTAATATTTTACGTATAATTTGTGCGAGCATTGTGCTTAAAATTCGAGTAACAGGTATAGATCTTTTTACTAGATTATAATTGGAAAAAGTTGCTGTGTGTGTGTGCTACAAGCTGTGTTAAACACAACTCCACATATACATTTGTCTTTATCATACACGCTATGTAAACAAATGCGTGCGCTGAATGATCGGAATACGAGGTAGGAATTTCTAAGAAAAACAAGTAAAATTGTTATCGATAAGTCAATTTGTAGAGAGACGTGGAAATTGAAGGTAAACGAATGTCGCTCTATGTTTCGTGCGTATTTCTTCTTTGATATCGAATATTTGATTGGAGGATTTTCTCAACTCGTGTTTTTCCTAGAAATTACAGCAGTCGGCGTACGGTTTTTATACATGGCGTGCGTGATAAAATCAAACACGCTCATGGCGTCGCCGGAGCGTCGATACGAAGTTGTCTCCGTCTTTGTACTTTTTCGAACATACTCTGTTGTAATTCGTACAGTTGGTAGAACAATGGCGAGGATATCGGAGGTAAACAAACATCGTCGAACGTTTCGTGTATGTTTCTTGTCGTTCGAATTAAATTTCGCAAGTAGGTGAACATCGCGAATATTTAATCGAGCAACAGTAATTCTTTTGTGATATTAATTAGTGCGATCGCGATTCTTAGTATTTCAATATTCGCAGTCATGCGCTTGTCACATCGCTTCGATCATGACTCGTCGGAGCATCGGTACGAAGTTGTCTCCGTCTTTATATTTTTCCAAACATACTCTGTTGCATTTCATACAGTTGGTAAAACAATGGCGAGGATATCGGAGGTAAGCGAACATCATCCAGCGTTTCGTGTATGTTTCTTGTCGTTCGAATTAAATTCCGCAAGCAGATGAGTATCGCGAATATTTAATCGCGCAATAGTAATCGTTTTGTGATATTAATTAGCGCGATCGCGATTCTTAGTATTTCAATATTCGCAGTCATATGCGCTTGTCGCATCGCTTCGATCATGGCTCATTGGAGCGTCGGTATGAAGTTGTCTCCGTCTTTATACTTTTTCGATCATACTCTATTAAAAGTCGTTCAGTTGGTAGAATAATAACAAAGATGCCTGATGTGAGAGAGTCTCGTCGTGCATTTCATGCATGTTTTTCGTTCGGAATGAATTATGCAGTAAGCAATCGCCGGAGAGTAAGTCGGCATAAGTATTGTTTTTCAATATTCGTAAAATCAGTTGCATCCGTTGCGGCGCATCACTCGCGTCGAATTTTCGAGCATCGGTATAAAAACCGGCGCCTGTAACAATCTACGTTGTTTCGAAATTTATTGTATTTCGCGTTGAACGTGTATCGGGAGTGTTGCGTTTCGGGAGTGCCGTAATAAAGTCATCGGTCGCATCGCAAGTGTGACAAATAGTGCCATGAAGAGATGTTCTGAATAACACGGCCAACAAATTATAGTGACTGGTGAGTAAATCTTAATTATCATAATTAATATATCTATTTTTAAATAATAACGCACATACAATTAAGTTTATTACATTTCAAGCGCATATATTTTACATTTTACATCATCTAGAAATATTATTTATTTATTGTACTTTTTAAAGAATACATTTATGGCTTTTGTTATATTTAAACACATTGTTCCAAATTTAAGGTAGCTAAATTCAAGGATAATAAAATAAATTACGAATGCATATATCTTTTTTCGTCATGTATTTTCAGTATTTTCGCGATTTGTGTCGTTTTGATTTATTTACATGGCTATTTGTACGGCGACGATCTAACTATATTTTTCATTTTGTAGGATACATGTGATTTGCGAGAAGTTCATTGTTGCGGCAGTTTAGTGTGATCAGATGCTGCGCAGGCGATCGTCGTTTCGAGGTCGGGGCTTCCTGCAGATATGCTGTTTTTTTCATCGCCGGTGAGTAAAGCGCTTGCATGCATTACGCTTCTATTTTCTGTAGCCCAGCTTGCGTAAGGCCTTCAGGTCCACGTTGCCGTAATAATCTTGGCTGCGAAATGTATGAAAATATTGCACGTAACTTGATCGTAACATATGACCGCTTTCAACCGGAATCGCAGATATTAAACAAATTAGAATTATATTATAACATATTTTTACGTCAATTATGTATGATCTTTTTTTATGCGTTAATCTTTTTATTACTTCTGACTTCTTTTCTGTATATTCTGGAATAACTGTGAATTCGAGAATTCGGTTGAATATCAAATTAGAAGTTGAAATAAAATTTAGTTTTATGAAAAAAGTATATTAATAATTATCGCGTTATATTAGCTGCGTGAAATTTATCAGTATTATTTTTATTTCTTATATTTTATTGTTTTAATTTTAAAAATGCGCAAATAATACCTAATTGTGATGAAAAGAATAAACACATTTACTTATTTTTCTAAACTATGACTTCAACAATTATATCGATTTAATTAATTATATTACAAATATCCAGATAAAATTTATCAATATTATTATTTATCCAGTAAGCAAAATGTTAGTTTTGTTGGCAAATTGACAGCAAACCTGAACAATTTGCTGTCAATCTGCCAAACATAGCTAACATTAGCCGACATAAGATGCCGCTCTATGGTTATATTACATATGTTATTATTAAATTATACACATAACTAGATTATAACTTCAACATGCAAAAAGTGAGTACACAGAATGTCTACGAAACATTGAACGAATTTTTCGTTTTATTAAAAAATACAGCTGAGCTTGCTTACATTGGCGCCAAGAGTCGGATTTCCGAGTTATAGATCGTGGATCGTGGATCGTGCGAGTCTAATAGACTCGATTTCGTGCGTGACGTATAGTGAGAAATAGATTATAGATACAGATAAGAATATATATAGAAAATAATATTTAGAGAGAAGATGCTATTTGTCGCGCTAACCAGCCGCGCTTGTATATCACTTTTCTTTTATTATAAGTACAAAAATAATGACGCTCTGTGCTTCAAGATTGCACGGAGACACGCGATTAGAGCGACAAAAGAGAATTACGGGCAAATTCTAGGGCATGAAATTCACGACGGTTTGATTGCGCTTTCCTCGTTCTCTCGGAATCTCGTAGATTTCGCTTCGGAATTTCTGCCTCGAGATTGAGCCACGTCCTTGCGAGATGTAAAATAGAAAATCGACCAAAACGTCCAGGGGAGGCCCTGTTGAGGGCGGATTTGTTTTTTTTTTCGGTTTTTGTGGCTCTCGGCACCGATTACTTTCCTTTTGGAGAAATAGTTTTTGCGTAATCAGAGCTGGATTTTCCGAGTATGTACGTGTGTGAGCGTATGTATATGTATGTGTCAGAGAAAGAGAATAGAGAAACGAAAAGCGAGTGAAAAAAGAGAGAGGAGGGAGGGAGAGAGAGAAAGAAAGAGAAAAAGAGGAAGGAGAGAAATAGAGAAAGAAATGATAAAGAAGAAAAAGATATAGTTTCATACAATTTATTGGCGTAAAATATAAATCTAAATAATAGAAAATAAATTAAAAGATAAAATATAAGATAAAACAAATACATGAATTTGTAAGTATTTCATAATTAAAGCATAGAGTAAAATAGGAACTGAAGGAATTTAATTTTATAACAAAACTCAATTTTTTAATTACATTTTGAAACACAACCATGACGCTCTTTGCAGAAGAATTATATTTTAATGGAAAATTATTCTTTGCAAATAGAATAAAATTTGTTTTATTTGTTTCAGTTTAGATTTTGCGCCAATAACTTGCGTCAAACAATTGAAGTCGATAAAATAAAACGATAGTAACAAAATGAGAGAAAAAGGAAATGAGTGAGAGGGGGCGAGGTAAGTCAGGATTTAATTTTCCTGAAGGGGCGAGGACAGCCTCGCGGGGCTTCCTGTTGGCCTAGGTTTCGCCTGGCTGGATGGCTTTCTGGGCTCGCTCTGGATGCCGGCAAGTAGCTCGCTCTTCCGGATGCTCTTCAAGTCCAGGTCACCGTAGTAATCCTCACTGTAAAGCAGAACCGAGAAAAACCCGGGGCTTAGGACATGCTCGGTGTGCGCTACGATATATTTGCTACATGGCGTGCTCTTTTCGTTATACTTGCGGACGAGATGCGCATGCATACGCATAGGAATAATTATATTTGCATTTAGTCATAGAAATTTGCGTAATGCATAGAGTGTCTTAGCATTTTTTATTTAAAGAATCAAGAATCACGAGAAAGAAAAATCCTTTCGTGCCATCATACTCATGCAAATTTTCATAATTATTCAGAATTTCTATGTAGACTGCCAAGCAATTAAGACAACATCGATTTTCGACGTCATAAATTTTTTGTAATAAGTATAGTATGTACAAATTGTAGAAGTGCCAATTCCAAGTTACGCTTTGCTTGACAATATACAGAGAGCAGCAGATAGTATTATAACAAAAACTGAGATAGTTAACATATACGTTAGTTACATGTTAGATAATCAATAAACATAATTACTAATACTAATTAATCGATATAAAGACTTGCTAATGCGCTATGAACCACTTGTTTAACAATCGCGAGAAAGACATCACGACGCGATTCTTTAATTTCTTTTTAAACACGCGATTATATTATTTTTTATTTTTATTTTACAGTAGTTACGCCAAATGCTATTAACTACCGTGAAAGCGTGCTGCAACGCGAATATCTCCCTAATTATAGATCGCCCGCGAATGCAATTCCTTCGTAATGTTACGTCCGAAAGTTCTAGAATGCGATTCCATCCTCGGAGAAGCTTGAAAGTTCTCCGTTGATGACTATAATTACTGAGATAATCGAATTTGAACATTTTTATAATAGCACTCCATAAATTGTTCGTTGCACAACGCTTCGTCTTCGTTAATATCCCTTTTGCACTCTCACTGACTTTTTATCGCGTGCATTTCTTCGTGAATTGCTCCATTAATTCAATAATCATTTAATCTAATTTTCGTCATAGAAAATAGTGTTATAGCTAAATCTAATGTGACGTAAAAAGCCATTTTGCATGAAATGATTTGAAAGTCTAAAGAATTAATTAATTCAGAAGAAAATTGTGGTTTCATAAAGTAAAATATTTTTGTTTGCTGCTTATTATTGTTTTGAAAAATTAAAAAATTTCTAGAAGTCTTATTTTTATAAGAAATTTTTATTTTAATTTTTATAATTTTAAGACAAATAATAAAAAAATCTGTTTTTTAATTCTTTGGCGATCATACTTTTGCTCTAAACTTTATTGGTTTTTAAAGTTCTCACGGCGATTGTAATTTCTATTCTGATGGAATCTTTAACCCTCCTTAACATTCTTCATCGCACGATATTTGAAGCATAGAATTCTAATATAGATATGGATTATTTATTCACGTCGCATTCGATCACGTAATCTTGCATAGCTTCGATTAAGATCCTTAAAAGTATTGAAAATAATATCAAGCTGATACATATTGTTTTATGAAAAATAAACCATAATTATGCAGAAAAGAATTGAATAATTTGAAAAAAATCGTTCAAGTAGATAAAATGTTTCTTATATAATTCATATTTTTTTAAAGTAGATAAAAATTAACTTTTTCTACTTGTATTTTTTTCTTAGCAGTTTCAAGATTTAGTCTTTCTTGCATAATTGATATGGCAGTTTCACGATAAAATCGTATAAAAAAATAATGCTCACCATCCGGGAACGTCTTCGGGATCCTCGCAAGCGCCGCTACCGTCAGCGTCGCCGATCTTGAAGACGGTGCCGATCGGGCAGCCGTACTCCCTGGCGATGCCTTCGAGGCATATGTAGTATTTTCTGCAGTCCTCCGGATGGGCGTGTCTGCTGAAGCTGCCGGATGCTCCGCTCACTTCGCCAGCGGCCGGACACGTGAAACCTCCAGCTACCTCTGCGCAACGCGATAAATAGAATAGTGTGAGAGATAGAAAAAGGCGTCACGTTTTTTAGCAATTGTCTTATTGGTCGGTCTCGTAAGTTGACAAAGAGAAAAAGAGTATGATATATATATATAAGATAAAGTATGTGTTTGAGATCCACGATAATCATTTAATCGCGATAAAAGTTATAAACTCGTAGTCTCTCTTGTAGTTTTCTTATATTATAATTCTACAAAATTATAATGTAAAGAAATGACTTATCTCAGGACTTGTTCAGGTTGTAATAAATAAGGAAGATAAGATAGCTAGGAAAGTAATGTTTGCCTTTGAAATGACAGATAATCTGTTAACTAATTGCAAGTTTTGAATCACATAAAAATGAAATTAACGTAGGCAAATAGAAAGGAACAGATGTAGAAGAAGTTGTGAGTCATGGAGTGGCGAGTTCACCGCACACGTTCTTTCTACGCGTATGTCCTATTATCCGTGTCAAATCATCTGTGACGAGTTCCTGGGTGACTGGACCAGGCACGGCTTTGCATTATAATATTCGTGTATAACTTCGAGCGCGATGCTACCGTAGAAGTTGAAACATTAATTATACTCAAAAGAGAAAGTTGTAACAATTAATTTGATTCTCTTACTCAATGGAACTTCGAATTATATAAAACTGAATATATAACAGAATTAATATTAATTGTTACACAGTTTTATGTAATTGAAAGTTGTTAATTAATTAACATATTAACTACATAATAGAACTTGATTATTATGGAGTAGAAAATTACTATTGAATAATATGTTTGAGCATTTTCTTCTACGTCTCGATGAATTTTTGCGAACTAATTAGACGATTTAATTGCGCAATTGGTTGACGTTTATATTTGAGCCGCGGTTGAAATTGCATTCGGCGAGATCGGTACCTTCGTTTCTGCATTCGGGCACTTGATCGGCCCACATGCACACCCTAGCTTCGCGGTCGTAGGCCAATCCGGGGCTGCACTGATAGCGGGACGCTTCGCCGTTCCAGCAGTTCCAGAAGACGTCGCATTTCTTGTCGTCGGCGAAGATGCCGTAGAGACGAGTGCAGTGCGGCGTACTGATGGGCGGCTCGAGTTGCGCGCGTTCACCGCAGTCCACGTTGTGCAGATAGTCGCAGTTCTCCGTGAGGAACTTATTGTCGCTGGCGTCAAACGCCAGGCCGTTGCCGCACGTCTTCAGCTCCGCGACGTTATTGTCACATTTCCAGTACTTGTCGCACGATATGTGATGGGGATAAAACCCGAAGTCATCCGGGCATTTGAAGCTGTCCTGACCACTCGACCCTGAAACGTCCAAGTAAATTATGTTGCAGTTAGTTTGATTGCTTTTAATGACAGTTTCATTTTTATTAGGTCATTAAATAGTTTAGTTTCGAAAAGTCTTTATATTTCACAAAAGCTTTGCTAAAACTTTTTAAATATAGTAATTTTTAAACTAGTATTTGATTTTATTATATATGTATTAATTTTTTAATGCGCTTATATATTTTTTTTTTTCCTAATTATATTTTATTTTTATTTTAAATTCGAGAACATAAGAAAAATATTATAAAAGCTTGTTTGATTTTTTGCTAGGAAGTAAAAAAGAATATTACTTTTACTTTCAAATTATTATCGAGTATATTATTAGTTCTTCACGATTGAAAACAACCTCGCTTTTAGCTCGATATTACTGTTCTCTGGAAAATCGCAGACTAAAATTAACTGTTACCCGCAAGAAAACTGCATTCTAGTTTCCTTTTTCGAATTGAATAACGATAACTGTTAAAAAAACATTGCGGAAGCAGCAGTAAGGGCATCGTCATAGATAAATAAGAGTTTTCGTGGATGGACAAGGCTTTCCTCAAGAATTGCTTTTTCTCACGTAGCAATTCGTGTTAATTGCGCCTAATTACACATCTTTCTCCTTCTTTCGCGCGCGCGCGCAGTGTATGGTGTCTGAATAAGCTAAAATATCTTATGTAAGGGGCTGTACGGGACGGTAACTTTCGCCGAACGCTTTCACTTTGGGCCCGCGGCCAGCCCCGGCTGCAGCCTTCGCGTGCTTGTGACTGGAACCTCCCAGCATCCCGTTCACCCGGTTCGCGCCGTAAGTTCCAGTGCGGGTCTGTATATGAGTGCGTCTGCGTTGAACCAGCTGTATTCACTTTCGTTTTCCACGGGACCGGTCCCGCTACCGAAAGCGACTTCGAAATTCGCTGGTCTCCGGACCGGCTGACAAGGCCCCTTCTCGTCCCGGCAAGTTTCATTCGCGTTCGACTTGTTTTGTAAAATATGCGGCATTAGATTATTATATAATTACTTGTCCAGAACTATGTACTGATTATGTAAATTATCGAATTACACATTCAAATGACTTGTGTACCAAAAAATATCAAAATTCTTTAATGAGCTCGATAAATTATTCAGTTATTTTTAATGGTGTTGTATTTCAAGATATTGAATGACGTTACACGGAGGAAAATATGTAATAAAAATTCAAAAATATTTCATATACTTATAGTGTTTGTTTGAAGAAAATTTTAATTAGTTTAAAAAGATTTTTTTCTGTCTTATTAATTCTTTATGATTGCCATATGATGGGTGATTTTATTATGAACGTTGTTATGAGTTATTTAATATATTACATCAGTACATATATTAATTAATTAATCAATGTTTTACATAAAATAAAACTGCATATTTTATAAAACAAGATTCTTAACATAATTTTAATATAAGTTTCTAAATAGTAATCTATTTTTACTGAAAAATAACATACTCTTTCTTTTCAATAATTTTTGATAATTAATTTTTTATTCAGAAATTTTTTCTTCTTTAAATTTTTGATATAATTTTCGACACAGTTAAGTAAAATTTGCGTAATAATTTGCGTAATAATTTTCGAATAATTTCTGTCACGATAAATCGTATCCTTGAATCTCCCTTTGACAAGGAATAAAAAGAAGGGTCAAGATCTGGGCCAAGGTTATGCCGTGACGGCGAGAAAGCGCGGCAAATTTTTTAGGCCGGGGGCGACTTTTAATTACTGCAGCGGTTAATTAACGCAGTCGCAAGAATGTCGATGCGATTGGAAAATTTACTAACAATCAAATGCTTTTATTTAGAGATATCAAATAAAAGTTCCCGCAATAGATGTAATATTATTTAATTAATAGAAGATAAATTCGAAATAATCTCAAACAATCTTGAAGGATTAATATAAATTACATTAAGAGAAAATTTTTTACATTATTATTGGATGGAAAAAATTCCGAAATTGAATAGAATAGACATTTATAAGCATCAAAAATTATAGTTCCAGCTTAATTCAATTATGCCATTAAATATCTATATACTTCTTTGCATTTTTAAGTAGTATATAAGTAAAAAATTAATGTATTATATATACAATATAACTGCAAGCAATAGAACATTTTTTTATAATTGAATAAGAAAAGTAAACTAAATATTAACAGGCTAAAAATGTACTTCTAGCAAAAATTTATTTTAGTATCTAAAATATTATAGAATAATATATCAAACTATTACAATTATTAAAAATTTTAACTATTAAAATTTCTTTTTTAAAATGTGCATTTATATCAATTAATCAAGAATTGAAAAGTTTCAAAATTATATTGAATTTTTTTGACCGAGAATAGAATAATAATTAATAATCGAATCAAGCTAATAAGTTGCAATGAAGTGAAAAATATTTGGAAATTCGCACATATGAATCGCGCGAACACGAATCGAGCCGCGATCGCGATTTCGAACATCCAAGGGATTATCGCCGCGGATTCTTCGCTGCAGCGAGATTCCGGTCGCAGTACTCTGTATCTCGATTACATCCTGCTCTCTCACATTGGGCGCACTGCTCTCTACTCTACACACGCGCATATTTAATCACACACTAACGATGATTCCCATCCACTTCCTTCTCATTCGAAGTCGCCGCCGAGTATCGCATCTCACTCGCGATCTTCCGGAATTTGACCGGCCCATTTCACCACCCTTACCGTGCGCTTAGCGTTGGGGGGATGATTTTTATTTACGTACCGGCGATCAGTATAGCGGCTATCACGAAGTACGTCCTCATGGTTCAATGAAACGGTCGACTGTGTGGCGCGACGACGAACGACAAAATTAACGAAAAAAAGTCTTCGGGCACTTTTAAGGACACCGCCTCCGCTGCGTCGAGAGACAGAACTCCGTGTTTGCGCCCTGTTGTTCGGCACCTTTATATAAGTCATTGGTCACGTGTCTGAACCCTCTCTCTCCCTCCCGCGGCTACCACCTCCTCCTTTGGACACTTCGAGAAGAGGTGCACCTCTCTACTTTTCTCATATTTCTCTGTCTCCTTTCTCTTTCTCTCGTTCTCTCACCTCTTTGTCTTACTTCGGAACTTTCTATCTTCCTTCTTTCTATGATGATATCCCTCCACCTTCTATCGTCCCTCGCTCTCTTCTTCTTTCTCTGTGTTACGAGGTAGATTTGTGGGATGAAAGATTACATTGATGGTAGGTATTTGATGCGTTTGATTCTTGTTCTATTGAAATTCTTCAACGGAAGAATTCGTGCCGTGAAAAAACGTGATAGCATTAGCGTGTCTGTGGAAGAATTTAAAAGTCTGAGATACGTAAAGCTGTTAGAGAAATATAAAATGCTTATAATCTAAAATTATGTAATAGTTCTAAGATTAAGTTCAAAAAAGGAAACTAGTTACGTACAATGCACATGCAAAGTTAGATTTGCCGCAGATTCGTTATGGTCGACCGAGTTTCTTCGATTCGTTTATTCTGTGTTTATTGAAGACTGATTTTAAAACCATCTAGCAAATAAAATAAACATTAAATAATGAACTTTTTATATACATTTTACGATTATTAAGACTGAATATATTAATATGGTTTATTTTATTTGAAATCTCAAGTGGAAGAAACTAAATTGTACGAAATCAATCAAAAATTTTTTTTATTTTGTACTCTAATTACTGCGACTCTCTTACTGAAACAAAATTTTTCTCTTTTTGAAATTTCCACTCGACATCTTTCTCGTCCTTTCGCTGGCGATTTCTGAAATCACAGAAATAACTTTTGTCAGGTTCTTAATGTCAGGCTTATCGTTTTTTCCGTACCTGTCGCGTTATCTCGTGAGTTGCATGACCAGTTTCGGAGCCGGTTGGCTCTCGCGCCGTTATTGCCGAAGAATGGTTCTTAATGAGGTTTGAGATGCTTTGTCTTTTCCGGGAATCACGAAATTCTGCGCCGATAAAAAGAGAGAAAGAAAACTGCCGTCATAGCCGTTTTGAGACGCAGGCGAAAGGAAGGTTAAACCGGTAGAAATTTTTTGTTGGTTTCGCGCCGCTTAGTGCTCACAAAACATTATTTTTTTAATTCTTTTATTACTAAATTTTTATTTATTGAGATAAAAAATGAGGATTCAGTTTTAACTCGAAATATTTTTGCGTGTTTGTGCTCCAGAAAATTCTTGGACAGAGTTTAGTTTAAAAGGTCTGATCACAGCCAGAGAGAATTTTATTCATATTTTCACACTAATTATATCGATGCAATATGCACTAATTATATTATAGGAGAAGACGTGACGGCGGGAGGCGCATTTGCATATCGATAAATTCGTCGAACTGTTTTCGTACGCAGCCGGCGTGTGACGACGGCCATGGTCGCGCGATTTGCAGAATACCGGTCGGCTCGTGGTCATAATAATAATTATACGTGGCTATGATACGTGGTTATAATGATAATCGTAAGGCCGCGACGTAAGGCTTGCGGCGCGATATAAAGCAACGAGGAAGGGGCGAAGGTCGCGTAACTCGCATGAGTCATTTTTCCGAGGCACCACCCTTTTCGGAATTGTGTTCGAGATTATCTGTTTTAAGCAGGTGTGCGGATATTTGACTATGCATTTTTGGAAGCCGAGAAATTAAGACAAGGTATTTGAAGCGCGATAAACTTTTTAGAAGCGTTTGTATGTTAATTTTCTAAAAAAATATTTTACATCGAGATTGCCATTTAATCTATTAAAAATTAGTACTTGTAGATATATTAAATTTGTTAGCTGTAAATTAATTATTAATTAATTAATATGTAGGTTAGACAAACAACAATCAAATATATGTGAAATTTGACTGAAAGTAAGATATATATATGTTTTAATATTTTTTCGTCACAGTTGGTAATCACTCTCGCCAAGATAGGAGTAAAAGTTTGAAATTTACATTAATATCGCGTGCATTAGAAATTTACCTACATTTGATTCTCGTTTTTGCTTGATTCTATTGTTTTACTCGAGCCTAATTTCCTTCTTCTAAATAAATATGTATTATTCTTTCTGAATTTCTTTTTTTACGTCTAGTACTATCGGTTCAATTAAAATTTTTTAAATTTTATCAAATTCAGAATTAAAATAGCATGCATTTATATAATATATTGGCCATCAATGAACGTAAAATTTCGGAGACACAAAAAAAGATGAGAAATTCCAAAAATAGTTTACAGTGAAGAAACGAGTTATGTAAGAACTTTTTTTATTTTTTATGGAAAATATACCGGTTTTATGCGAAATTAATTCACCTCGAAGACCACCTTCGTGGTCTCCGAAAAAATATTAACCATTAACGCGTCGCAGCGAAGCAAGAAAATGTACAAAAAGCCACGAAAAAGGCGCACAATTAGGTAGAATTCAACTCGCATTTTTCTTTGATCTGTCGTTTCTTTGCTCATGACATTGATTTATTTTATTCTTTGTATGGACATAGAAATCGTTTTGACGATATATCTCGAGATATTCTGATCGCAATTAAATGGCTAATTGAGATTTATTTAGAATCTTGAATTAAAATGTTTTTGTTTACCACTTAGCTCTTTTTCTTATTAATATTCTGCAAAAAAATTTTTATAAATTTGTTTGTAAAAATTATTTTTCTCTATTAGAAATTTGCAAGCTTTCATTTTAAGTTTCTACTTACAGAAAAATGTAGAAATGAAGTTACATCATTTAAGAAACTAAGAAGTTGATTACATCTTCTCAGTTTGTTGAACAGGATTTTCTTAATGGCGATGCGTATAATTCAGGTGTAATTATCATCGTATTAAAGATATGATCGATAATGGAAATTCTGAATAATGCATTTATGTGACCGATAAATTTTCTAAGATCTACATTCGCAGAATTTATATGAAATTCCGTTTTTTGTAGTTCTTTTTTTAACGGAGATATTGTGAAAACTAGTTTTTGCACCGTTGCGAAAGGTCGCATGTCGTATCGATAAATCGGATCGCGCGGTAAATCGGTTCACAATCATCCGTTTACATTTCCGGCGGCTATTACGATTCGTCACGTAAGAAAGGTGCACGAGTTTTGCAACGCATTTCGCCATTTCTCGCGACAGTCGGCGAGTTATTTCATCACATAGGAAAGTCTTTACATCGGAAGGATGGAATTGAAGAAAAAAAATTGGAATGTGAGAAACAAGATAACAATTGTAAGATTACGGGAATCTGATTAAAAGTTTCTACTTGTGAGAGAAAAGTTATTTCAATGAATTAAAATTTCACCTCAACGGAAATCAAGATATGTTAATGTTATAATATTATCGAACACTTTATGCTATCCAAGGAAATACATATTCTCTCGGGGTTTCTTTAAAACAAGAATCGATCTGCATATTTCTTCCCGAGACCAAGGACGATTTCGATCCAAGGCAGACACGCATGTTAATGCAGGACACTTTCGACGACGACAACAGAACTTTCTCGCTCCGTTTAATCCAGTTTCTCGAATAAATCGCATCGCCGTTACTGATTCCAAGTGAGGTAACGAGTGCACACGAGATTTATAAATGCGTTCAATGAATAGCTGCTAGCAATCGGATCTAGCAGTCATAGATACACGCGTTATACACATGATATTTTCTTTGCCAAAGTGATAGTGACAATTTCATGTTTGGAATAAAAATATTTTGATAATAGTACAACAATCATATTAAATTAATATTGTCGTACTAAATAATGTCGATAATAATATAACAGTTGTGTACAATTTATAATTTCTTTTCTTTTTAATTTATTGACATAGTTATTAAATTATTTACTGATGATTAAGTCCTCTCTTTCTGCATTATTATCTTTCGTCCGTTACTTTTCTTTTTGCCTGCTAAACAATTTGTGAAATAGCTGAAAATATTGATAACACGCGCATTCTGTACATTTCTAATGCGTTATCGCGGTACTTCCGGTAAAAGTGATTAAATTTCCAGTCTCCCGAGTGAGTTTTCGCGGCGCCGGTGATAACTTTCACGTTCTACGAATTGTAAACAGTATTATATTCTGAGTTTACGGACTAGTTGTTTTACTGGTCGGGAAAATTTTTATATCTGCGTGCATTCGAAGTTGAAATCGGGTTTGTCTGCGCTTTCCATGATAACATTGATAAACCGGTCGTAAATTATCGATTTTGCTTATTATCATTCCATGTTATCAAACTCTTAATTAAATAATTTTGATACCGTTGCATTTTTTAACTTTTCTTCGAACAAGACACAAAATAAAATACGTGCGCGATTTTTTCAAGTGGCAGTTTTAAAATGTCAATCACACTTTGATTGTCGGCTGGTCGTGAAAAAAAAACTGTCCTGACGAAAAAGGCGAAACCCTTTCCGGATAACGGTAACGTTGTGTCGTGTAGCGTGCATTATTGCGGTATACTGATCGGTATTACGTGTTCAACGTGCCAAGGATGTAATGTCACGCTACGGTGTGATTAATATTCGGCTCGATGGCCTCACTCTTTCGAGCGAGGCCCGTCGTCCTTCCGCAGGATTGCCTTTCGCACATATTTCTTTCCGCCTCGCGAATTATTTTTCTCTCGCAAGAATCTCGTCGAAGGTCAAGGAGGTTTTTTCGCAGCAGGACGCGATCGACAATAGAACGAACCGTTTATTATAGCTTAACTGAGATAAAAGCGTCATCGAGGCATTTAGTTTAAAAACAGATAAAAAGTTACTTGCCTCGTACATAAATCATTCGACGCGTTTATGAAGCTACGGCGCATAAATCTTCATTTTTATGAAGTATGTATATTTGAAGTATGTATTAAACTTCATGTTGCGTGTAGCTACAACTTTGTATTTCTTTAGCTTTCTTTATTAGCTATTTTTTATTTAATAATTATCTTGTAATCTTTTTGTGT